TCTATGACAACAGATTGAAGAAGCTACAGCTGAGGACACGAGTAGTGGCACAATTACAACGACAGTGAGGACAGATGTTAATAATCCTGTTGAAATTCTACCTGATCCGAAAATACTTGTAGATGAGCCTTTCCTATAATTGTTGTCAATACGGCTAAGCCGTGTGTAGAAATTCGAATTCAGAAATATTGATATAAGAAAGAGATGGTTCATAAAGGAACCCATGTAGTATTTCATCTTCCTTGTCTTTTATTCCATGAAATAAGCTTAAGATACTTATCTGATATAAATCATCTGTAACGTTAACTCAAAGAATACGAAAGCCTATTAGGACCAATCTATGAGTGAAAAAAAAGGCATAATAATGCCTATTCAAAAGTGGGATCAGGTGCCAAGGAGGAGTAAGCATCCCTGTCGACCGGTCACACCTTCCGTGTGCTCCTTGTCATGATCAGGTAAAAAGAAAAATTCTGAGAAAGTTCAGTGTGAAAATAATGGCCCAACAATTTGTTTTTGAAAAAAAGTTAAAATTCGACATAACGACTGATTATATTTGCAAAAATAGGGTCATTGTATCGACCATAGAGTTCGCGAAAAGCTGACATTAAACGAGATTGTTGATATCCTTCTGTCATCAACTAATTTGTCAATAGACTCCTTTGTTTTAAAAATCATTCATAGAGCATGCTCTTGCGCATCGAATCAACTGGATGACTAAAACTCCATATGCATGGGATAATAGTATATTGCTACAGAAATAAGGGAAGTTGGCAATGGAAAAGTTGAAGTCATCACGTTTATCATAAAGTAAAGTTGTTGCTTTGTCATCAATGTATTTCTCTAGACTAGTAAAGTATCCAAATATGAAACAGTTAGACTCAGAGTTCAGCAGAGTTCTTAAAATTCTTCAAAATGATTTATCTAAAAAATAGATAATTATATATGAACATCATTTAATTAGCAAGAAGAATCTGGTGAATTGTAATACATGAGTTGAGAAGGGATTTGGTCTGTGACTTTGCATAGATTTTGATAAATAATTACTTGTTAAACATTTTTGAATAATGAAAAACATATTAGTTAATGTTTAAATTAATTCAAATGTTCTTCAGAAAGTAATATCTTAACTCATTGTAAAAATATATACATGTACTGGTACTGGCTTGAAAAATATTCAAAAATCACCTCTGTTACACAGAAAACATAAACACTCACTACAACAATGTATACTGTTATTATAAAATGAAATCAATTCAGAAAAAAATGTAAATCAAATATTCATTCATCAAATAATCATATAAGAAAACTGTCTAGGATACGCGAAGAAGGATAGAAAATAAAGAAAACTTATAACATTGAAAAAAAGGACACAACCATAGAAAAGTACATAAATGTTTACCTGATCATGACAATGAGCAGACGGTGGGTATGCTTGCTCCTCCATGGCACCTGATCTTACCTCTGATGTTTTTTAGAAGTCCGTGTTTGCTCTGCTCCCGATTTGTATTGTTTCAATTGACTTTTGAGCTTGATTACTGTTCGTTACCTCCATATTTCATTAATAAAATCTGTTAAATAAAAAAAGCATGAAGATGCACAGAAGATGAAATTCATTGTCTTAATCTGAGGAAGAGATAGAGATCACAGATACTTGTTATATTTATATCCGCACTATCTAGAGATAGGTAGGTATTCCAACAATCTGTTGAAATTCAGATCGGCATAAAAGTGTTCCTTTATTAGCCGGCCTGTTTTTATATTCCAATTAAGCAGATTTTATTTTTAAAAAAAAGTCTACATGAGAAGAAGAAAACCCTCGATGTGGGGATGTCGCCTTCATATCAACATTTAGATATTTCGACGATGTTTTATCAATTAACAATAGTTACCATACTTTCATTCAAATGTCGACCAGATGATTGAACGTATCTTGTTTTACGTCCCATTCCAATTTTTCACTCGTATAGGAACGTCACCATATACCGGTGAAGGGCTTAAAATTTAGACTTATACTCGGCCATTGAGCAGTGAAGGTTCTTTATCATGCCAACTCCCACGCTTGGCGAAGGAACAGTCACTATGTTAGTTTATAGGTCTTAGGTTTGGCGCAGCGAATGAGAATGGACCCCGTTCCGCCCAATCATGAAGCGAACGCCGCGGCCCTTCCACTAGGCTACCGTGACCGATATATCCCAGTGAACTCTAAATATGGACATCACGGAGTTTGCTACATCTCTTACGTATTTTGGCGGTTTTACTGACTATAGACGATAATTGCCAACGAATAACTAAACTGTATTACAAACGTGATAACTTCCGCAATCACATGCATACGGTTACGTCTTCCACCTTACTCAAGAGCATGCTCTGATTACAATTAATTTTTAAAACCGAGGCAGGCTACTGACAGATAGGTTGATGATACAGGGATTTCAAAAATTTCGTTTAAAGTCAGCATTTCGTAAATTCTATGGTCATTATAATGACCTTGTTCGCAAACATAACTTATTATTGGGTCGTATTTTTGCTGACTTGTTTCATACTAATTGTTAGGCCTTTGTTTTTAAACTAAATTTGAATACGGAATATTCCGTCTACCTGACTAACACAAAGGGCTCAAGGCGAGTGTGGTCGGTTTACAGGGGATGCTCACTCCTGTAAGGCACCTGATCCCACCTCTTGAATTTTTGGGGGTCCTGTTTTATGCTCTGTTCACAGATTTGTATTGTTTGTAGATTTTTTGAGATCGATCACTGTTCTTTATCTTCGTCTTTTTCACTTTTCCATCATCAACTTCCTATATTTCTTTAGTAATATTTCAACACCACCTGCATATGGTGTTAATATTTCCTAACTGATTAGATACGCAAGAGTATGCTCTGAGCACTATCAATTTTTAAACCGAGGCAAGCTATTGACAAAAAAGTTGATGCCACAAGGATTGCAAAAGCCTCGTTTAAAGTCAGCTTTTCGCAAATTCTACTGTCGCTATAATAACTTTGTTCGCGAATGCAACCTATCGTTGGGTCGTATTTTGTCTGACATGTTTCATACCAATTGTTAGGCCTTAGTTTTTATACTAATTTTGACTACCTGATCAATACATTTGGCTCACGGAGGGGATGCGTACTCCTCCTAGGGGCTCGTGTTTTCCCCCTGTTCACGATTCGTCTTCTTTGCTGAATTTATGAGATTAATCACTGTTCCTTATCTTCACCTTTTACATAACGGTATATTGTTGTTATCCGTTAGACTGCCACGCTACTCTAAACATTGTAGTATCTTCTTCCTCATACTCCTCCTACATTTTAAGCAGTAGCCATTTCATCTCTTTGAAAATTGTAGCAGTGTCCTGTTTTTGTGCAATAAGTTTCTGGGTTTTCATTTCCATACTGGGGCGAATAGGGGTTGAAAATGTTTTTTTTTAATAAAAAAAAATCATTTACAGAACTTCTCATATTATTTTTTTTACATTTTGTAATAGTCAAATCACCTTTTCGGTATATGATTAATGGTGTCCTGAAGAAGTTCATTTAAATTTTTTAAGTTTCAATCAAAGAAGTTAACCAACGATATTTTTTCTACAAAAACCTGGTTTCCAGACCTGTTTTACATTTTACGCAGTAGACAAATCGTATTTTAGAATATGATTGGTAGTGTCTTAGAGTTTCAGACTTTCATTTTTTTATATGGGAACCCACATTGAGGGTCTAAGAACGATTTTTTTAAAACAAAGGTTTGGCTTCCAGAAGACTTTTGATATTTTATGCAGAAGCCAAATTATCACTCGAATATGCATTATTACATAGTGTAGATTCAAGTTGGTTCAAATCAAGACCCCCGAGTGTAGGGTCGGCCACAATGGACGATTAAAGTTTTACATAGGAATATATAGTAAAAATTAAAATATTTCAAAATCAGTAAGCCAGTTAAACTAACTTGAATTTGTTGTTTCTTCTAATTTTTTTTAACAAAACCCTTTTGTCTAAAACTCCTTTTAAAATAGATTTTATACTTCATAAAATTCTTGAATTTAAAACTGGTTACGAATTTATTATATGAAATACTAATTTAGGAGGCCTATAGCCACATTTTGCGAATACATTGCATATATGACTTCCGGATTTTCGAAACCTTATTGTTCATCTACAGGACACCAGTAATCATATCTGTAGAGAGGTTTTTTCCTAAGTATTGTGTAAAATCAAAGGGCAGTTATAGGAACCAAGTTTTTTTGTACAAAAACGTCATTTTTCGACCCTTAATTAGCCCAAGGATAAAAATGAAAATTAAATCTTAATGTTCATCTACAGAACACCCCCCAATCTATCCAAATGATGATTAGGCAACTCCGTTAAATAAGGAGAGTTCTCGGAATCAAGTTTTTACAGAAAAACTTTTGAAACTCCTTAATGGACCTCGGATGAAAGTTGAAACTACTCTAAAAACCTTTTCATTTGCAGAACACTATAAGTCATATTCCAGCAGAGATTTGCTTCTCCTTAAAATGCAAGAGAAGTTGTAGGAACCGGGTTTTTGAAGATGTCGTTTACCGTATTGCACATCTACGGGGTACCATCAAGCAGATGAATAATGTAAGAGGAATTATAAGATATACAAATTTGATAGTACCCGGTCTAATGTAGAATTTTATGTTCACCCCGAAGTCTGGAAGGTCAGGTTCATTTACACAACACTTTTATATGATTTCTAGAATGTTAGATTTCAGCCAGAGAACTAGGAATAATTCAGTTATATAATAAATTATAATTTGAAAATAAGAATCATTGATTCGAGAATGCATGGGCCGTAAAAATATAACTAAATATGCTGTTAACAATTTGTATAAGATAATGAGAAGGCAAAAATATTAATTTAAGCACATGCTCTGCTCTCGATGGGGTGTTACCACATTCCCATTACTGACATATGTACATGTATATTTGTCAAAAGATATCAATTAAAGTCAAAATTATAATTGAATCTTTAATGGTCTCAACAGTGATATTGTCAAATAACATTGACAATGAACCAAACCTGTATAAATATTTAAACAAGAAATGGTACAGTAAAAAAAATCTTTTTCTAACAAATATTTTGGTATCTTGTATATTCCACAAATGTGTTGCAGTGTTTGCAACAAGAAAGCACCTAAACTGTTTAATACTGTAATAACATGTTGCACAACTGACTCATTCCAGAAACAGCTAAATGTAAACTATAATGGTGGAAGGTGAAACAAAAAATGATTATCACATTAATCTTTGAGTATTTCATCGGTAGTTTCCATTTTAAAACTTTGTCAACTTATAACCCGCCTCTCCTCAGAAAATCCCCAAGCTTCATGACCTGTTCATTACAAACTTTGGCTTCATATCGCTCGTCCGTGATTGCAATAATCAGTAAGGTGAAGGTTTTACACACCGTGCAGCCGTCAAATTCTTTCCGGGCAAAAATTCCATTTTTTCCATCGGCCAGCCGTACGTCGTAAGTCTTTCCGTTGATGACGAGTCCGTTCCTCTGTAATAAGTCTGGGTAAGTCACAGCTTCGATAGCAACCTCGAGTTCCTTAGGGGATACCCAGAATCCCTCACTGCTGGTGATACGACGTTTGGTCCTCAGGTCATAAATTCCAATTTGACACGGAGCTGCTTCTACTAAATTATCCAAAATATAACTGTCCCACAATTTTAAGACATATTCCTCTGTAAGCGAGCTGTTTTCCAGCCTGGAAACCTCCATGATTATGTATATTTCACAAGTTATTTGTTTGTGTTCTTTACCATTAACAATAAATTTAAATGCCAGTAGAATTATTATTTGAGCCGATTGAATTCAGCATTTTAAAAAATTCAATGAAGTGGTAGGATAAATCGATAAATACCTGATATGCCACAAAGTTATCTTTTAAAAGGAGTATTTAGCAGCAAGGTAATACATATCCCTCAAACTCAGAGAGAGAGAGAGAGAGAGAAAGAGAGAGAGAGAGAGAGAGGACTAAAGTACTAATGTAACAACCAGGAGCTTTTAATGTAAGTAAATCAGAATAGACCTATTTTTGTCTTTATGGCGATTAAAAACTATAATGGTGGAAGGCTTAAAAAGGGTCTGTTTTAGGAAAGAAACAAAATTAAAAATTATTTATTCTATAAAATGAATTCATTGTGATTTTAATTAGAGTGGTAAGTGATCGATCACTTAATTATGTATATAAATATATTCTTTTCTCTCCAAGTTACGAAGTACGCAAAGATTTAGAAAAAAACACTCAAGAATTTCCCTCTTAGTCTTAACTGTAAAATCTGACTCCCAATGAAGATGAGATGTATGATTGTACATATCATTGTATTATATATTGTACATGTTGGATGTTAATCTCATCATTTTATGTACTAAGATGTATATGATTGTAAATATTATCTTTGAGATGTAAATCTCTTGACTTTAATAAATTGAACTGAACTGAGATATTTTTAAAGTAAAAAAAAACATTTATAGTAATTACACAGTACGTGTATTTACGGTATACCTTAAACATAATTTGTACGGTCTAGCATTCTCTCTCTCTCCTTTAGTGACAGCTTATATTTACAGCTCGCTGATAGCGATAAAGGTTAACTGGGTGGAACATAAGAAAGGGAAAAAAACATAACATCTGTATACTACTCTCTGTTTCTCATCTGATTTTTATGTTTCCAATAAACTGTACATAGAAATAAATAAATAAATAAAAATCAATGAAAAATAAAACGAGGCTTTGATTTCATTATTTAGTCGGTAACCCCAAAAAAGCAAGACCAGCTTTTGGTTTTCGATGATGATTTATCCTTTCGGCAAAAACAAGGGATGCCATCTATGTCATGTCATTTCCATGGAGTATTTTGCAGTCGGAGTATAAATCCTTCCCAGTGTTGTACAAATCTGTACTATTTTTTTTTTAAGTCACCTGAGTCACTCAGATGGCCTGTTGCTATCTGTTTTCGTCCGTCGTCGTGCGACGTGGGTTGTGTGTAGTGCGTCGTTCTTCGGTCGTAAACTTTTGAAATGTTCAGCTTCTCTTGAACCATTGAACCAATTTCAACCAATTTAATTGGTAAAGGGTACAAATATTCTGAATTTCATGGTTCCTGCCCTCCCCCCCCCCCGGGGGGGGGGGGCTTTAGGGGTGGGGCTAAACCATCAAAGTTAGTGTTATCTTTTTTAAAAAAAACTTCTTCTTTACATCAGGACATCAAGCAGTCAAATTGTTGACATGATTGTACATGTAATTAGCACTGAGTCCTCTACCAAAATTGTGAAATTCATGGTCCCAGGGTCATGGGTTCTGGAGTTTGGGTGGGGCTCTAATGAACATATAGTGAAAATGCATTGAAAATCTTCTCTCTCCCTGTATATAAAGCAGATAAATCAAGTGCATGATTATATTGATCAAGAGTGCCTCTTCCAAAATTGAAAAAATTGTGGCCCAGGGTCAAGGGTTCTGCGGGAAGGGGCTCTAATATTTACATAGTGATAGTGCGTTATTTCATTGAAAATCTTCTTCTCTGCTTCAGTGTATTAAACAAACAAACCAAGTCCATAATTATGATAAGCAAGGATGCCTCTTCAAAACTGTGAATTCCTTAGCCCCTGGATCAGGGGCTCTGGTGTTATAGTGGGGCTATGTTGAATCCCCCCCCCCCCCACACACACACACTCTTTGTTGCTTTAAGGTCGAGTACTGGCAATTTCGAGGAATCGGACAGTTTGTTTGTTTGTTGTTGTTTTTTTCTTTTTTTTTTTTGCTTGTCAGTTTTTTGGGACCTTGACCCCTCATATTTGTTGAGTACAGTATTAATCCGTTGATACGGGCCTGAGTAAAGGCAAGTAAGTCGATCAACTTTATGGTCAAACGACACGTTCCTCAAATATATGTTTTGTATCTCTTTGTATTACATCAAATCTTATTCACATTTGTCATTCTCTTGTGATTTCTAAAGTGGTTTCAATATGTTTTAAAAAATATGTACACCAAATATTGTGACATTGGCAATTCAAAAGATTACCCATAAGGATTATAAAAGAAATATCACTCTCTGGTATCTTGCCCAAATGTCTGATAAGATACACTGTACCCCAAATTTTGTGGGGAAACTTGTTCAAGTATCAATACTTCAGTGACAAATCGATCTTTGGGGGGGGGGGGGGGATTATATATATATTTTCGAGGAACGTGTCATCTGACCTTAAGATTTGTCAATGTGCACTAAATTATTTTGCTGATCCCTGATTATCCGGCCTATTTCTCTTGCTTTTGGGCAACATAGCTTCATTTATCAACTTGTTTTGTTTTATTTTATATTCAATCTATAGATCCTTTACAATGTTACATTATACTCAGGTGACCTTTAAGGCCTTTTGTTTTTTTCTCCCTCGTGTATAAACACTTGAAAGGTGTGTTCTTACCGAGTAAGTTACACATTTTAATATTTCGGAAAGTCACGTTTTACGTTTCAATTTTTTCTTCAATGTTGCTAAGTCTACATCCGTTTTGATTTTCATTTTATTTCACATCCCTGTTCCAAGAAGACTATTTATTTAGAGAAAATGCTGAAAATGAACGAGATCATTCCATAGATTTAATGATGAAAATATATGTAAACTATTTAAGGGAGTAATGAACTCAGAACAAAAGGCAGGCGACTCTCGTCAGCAGGTAAGTCACGAAATGAAAACAGAGGGGGAAAAACGGTTTACACCATCTGACAGCTGTATTCGACTGGAAGATTTATTTTGGACAGTTACAGGTTCCGAAAAATTGGAAATTACAATGTGTTGAATAATTTTTCATTTGGATGCTTAACACACTGACAACTTGTATTTTTATTTATTTATTTATTTTTTTGTTATTTTATTATTTTAGTCATTACTTTACCATTATCCCTCTCACTAGTCTCAGGTTGTGAACAATTGCCAAGGCCATCTTGAAAATAATATTTGTTTACCCTCTCACGACTCAAGGTAAAAAAAAAAATTGGGTCGGTAATAGGCATAAATTTTTTTCTAGAAAATGTCAACATACATGTTGATCAGATGAGAAATTTCAGGGATAAAAAGAAAAAAATAATTGTTTCATGGAGGTTAAAAAAAGTTTTTGGTTGGGCCATTTTTTGCCAGTTGGTTGAGGGAGGGAAAACAATTTTTTATTTTAAAGATGGCTCGAAAGGGAATATACATGTGATAAGTTTCAGACCAAAATGGCAAGTGGCGGATTCAGGGGTGAAGGGTTTACATCCCCCCCACCCACACACACTCCCAGCTCCATTTTTTTTTTGTTTTGCAAGTGTTATTTTAACAAAATATTGCATATAAGAGTTTGACTCTATCCAAATCCATTATTTTACACAATTTTGTATACAGCCACAATATACATGCAACTAGGAAATCGCTCTCTGCTTGAATGCACACAGAACACATGGATTTGTTTCAAGGTTCGGGGGAGGGAAGGGGTTAAAAATATTTTTCTTTTTCCATTAGTTTTCCCATTCAGTGAGACTTTCAGACTTTCTTATTTCACTAAAGCGCCCAACATGGGGTATGTTATTACAATGAAATTTTAACAATTGAACAATCAGTCTGTGAACAGTTAACATAATGAACCAGAGGATCTATGATTAATATACAGTACTGACAGTTGTTAGAAAATGTTCAATGTTATATGTTATGGGAAGTTTAGGTATGAAATGTTTTGAGAACTTTGCTAATCCTATTAGTTTATATATATATATATATATATATATATATATATATATATATATATATATATATATATATATATATATATATATATATATATATATATATATATCAGAAGTATTCATCAAATCATAAAGAGATATTGTGTTTGGATTCATAAAATATTGAAATTCTTGAGTTTTACCTAAGATATAAAGTTATCTCTCTTTCTTTTGATAAATAATTTATATTTTATGAAAATTGATGTAAGTATCTAATTAAAACTTAAAAATTGGAATATGATAACTTTTGAAAATTAACATGGTGATAGACAGCAAAACAAAACTATTGTTCAAAGTCATTTTTAATTTTATATTACATAATCATTTAGATGCATGAAAAAAAAATATATAGAATGCATTTCATTACTCAGAACAAATATCAATTTCTTACAGAATTCATACCCCCTCCCTTCATTTAATCACTCATTTCACTAGTTATCTCTGTGTGAAACTAGGAAGCAAAATAAATAAATAAGTATAAAGTAAGTTGTATCACTTAATGAAAACATTTCCTTAAAATAGTATGGATATTTATTTCCCTCCAATCCAGAAGTAAGATAAGAAGGAAATGGAGATTTTGAATGTATAAGCCAAATTCTGTATTTTAAGATATGTTTATCATAAAACAAATCTCCACAGAATTGATGATGAAAATGTTGTGTCTGAGTTCACTGTGAATTTTTCTGTTCTTGTATACTATATAAGGTCAACCTCACAAAGAAATTCCAGCCTTTCATATTTTACAAAATCTACTTCATGGATCTTGGAAAGGTAAATTACAGGAAAATACTAAATGAAGATACTGTTATAATTGACTCAACAAAGGGAGGGAGTTATTCTTTTCTTTTATGTAGTGTATTTTCAAATGTCTGTAAATAATGCTATTAAACTATATGAATGTAGTATAAATATATATGGTATATTCTTAATTTTCTTCAGTCAAGAACAAGAGATCAAGGCAATACCGTTCATCCTCATGGCAAAAAACCAAATAAAAGTAAACCCAAGCCTTTGTACTTCTGGGACTGTGCTGATGTGAACAAGTGGATGAAAAAATGGTGTGGTGCCCTCCATGAAAAATATGGAGAACTCTTTCTGCAGCAGGAAGTCACTGGTACGTCTTTGAACAACTCATCTTTAACAAATATATATTTACAGTCAGTTTAATTTTCTGTATGAAATGCAGCCTCCTATAACACGAACGAAACCTTGTCAGGGCATGGTAGAATACACAGTAGGTTCTACATACACTTTCAAAAGACTAGGAACACAAAAATGTATATTGTTTTGGCTCAGTTTAATTTAAAAACAATTACCCTATTAAATTGTTGTATGTTTGAAATTAATTTGTCAATTTTTTGCCTCAGAGTATTCATTTTCATTATTTAACTTAATTTCTATGTCAGAATGACTTTTATGTCTATTTACCTCACCAGTTCTGAAAGGCATTAAAGGATGACTGCACTTAAGGACATGAGAAATTTGCGACAAAATAAACTTTCAAAACAAGCATTTTTCTTTTCATTGCAAGAATGGTCAACATCCAGTCTACAACTTCATGTAATTACGTTTAATAAAAGTGTGTATTTATGAAGTTCAAATCTGTTTTCAAAGGCAGCGGTCATCACAATTTCTTGAATCTCCGTTCGATAATGAGGATGGCCACTTTTTTACTGACTTTATACATAGTCAGCGCAGTTTGTCTATGTTCTACGTTTAACAGTAGTTGTATATTTGCATAAATAATAATGTGTCAAAAGGAAAATAATAGACAAACATGCGCTCATGGTAAAAAAAGAAAAAAAACTGCTTCTTCTTACATTTGCTCTCTGTGTTGTAACCAAGGATTGTGACATGTTGAATATTATAATTCACCACGTGATTTCTTACCTCAGGTAACTTTGTGAATACTAAATTCCGTCACGTGACGTGTAAGGTAGCATGTTTTGTGCTAGCTAGGACATTGTGTTCGAACACGTTAAATCATCTGGCATTGATTATAAAATCTGCTTTAATTACATTGACGTGCTCATATTGTTGATTTCATTTTGAAACCTTTAATGTCAGTAGTGTATTTGTGCCACAACATGTCATTGTTATTTATCAAGTCTAATTTTAGACCCATTCTTACAATGTTAGCTCCACCTCTCATGCATATCTAATGTTCAGTCAAGGGCAGGTTAGTGTAAATTCCCTACATTTGGAAAGCAGTAAGGAAAAAAAACATTGAATCATTTTATTGTATCACAGTCTAAAATCATTTTAAGATTTAAATTTGGTTACAAATTGACAGGATTCTTTCATAAACATACAAAAGTGAAATAAGGTTTAGATATAAAAGCAACAGAAGCAACCGAAAAAGACCCAAAAACAGGTGTTAAGTGCAGTCATCCTTTATAACTAGAATGTTCCAAGGAACGCATGTGTCACCTGCTTTGTAGCTTCATTAAAGGTGTAAACAAATCTAAGTGTAGTTAGCTAATAGTTCATGCAGGAAAATAAATCCATGTATAAGACTGCAATAGAATCTGACAGTCAAAGAAAATATTATTCCCAACCCTCAAATGAATAATTAAATTGAAATTATTATAAATAATTATTTATCATTTTACATTAATTAAAACATGATTCAAATTCTTTACTCCTATTGTCAGTCTACACAATCCATTGTGGGATACCGATCCAGATGTATTTTCATAGTATTTAAATATAAGTTTGTGTGGTAACTGAATTTCATACTGTTTCAAAGTACAGTATCATGAGTTCATAAATGTATAAATGCTAATTATCAAAATTCTGTCTCTCAAAATTCAGAAGACATAAACTGTCTGGGGTATTTTTTGCAAAGTAGGTCAGTGGTCAAGGTCAAGTGGATTGTAATGCTGGTATTTTTCGTAAAGTCTTATCAAAAATAGTGCACATGCTAAATAGCATAGACTTACATAACATGCTGTATATTGGCAATATTAACTATTCTGTAAAAGGTCAAAGGTCACAAGGTTGGTAACCATGGCAATTCACAAGCCATAGTGCCAAGCAATATATGTGCAAAATATCAAATCCATACCTCTTACAGTTCTTGAGATACAAGGTGTGACAGATGGACAGACAGACGCGGGGGAAAGTGATCCCTAAGTGTTGCTCTACTCTGCAGGCAACACAACAGAGATGAATGAAATTAATATTTATGAACAGAGTAAATTAGAAAATGTAAATAAAGCATTGAATTCTTGTTTTTTGGATGTTGTCAGTCATATAACAACACCTGTCCTTGACAAATTATCACACAACACTAATGTGTGGTATTTGTTGGCACAGCCAGGTGCTGTTATATGACCGACAACATCCAATAATAAGAATTAAATGCTTAATTAGAGACATTTAGTGAAATACTTGGCATGTATGGCATCAATGAACGTTCAGATCCCAATTAGTTGTTTGTTTAAAGGGCATGGATTTAAAATGATAGTATTCCTATGAAAATTTTCATATTCAGCATCCATGGCCATTTTGGATGTAATTAGGTCAATTAATGCAGAGAAATGTGGCAGTTAGACAGATTCAATCGCTGGTGGCCAGATAGCTCAGTTGGTAGAGCACCTGACTGGAGATTCAGGGGGCCTGGGTTCGAATCCTTGTCATTCCATTGCAATTTTCTCCTCTCCTGTTACAGAAAATTTGAATATTTCTGGTTTTAATATGTGATTTTATGTTTTTTATATACATTATTTATATTTGTATTTATTCATATTTGTAATTTGTAATTTACAGATGAAGGTAATTGACAATTAGTACATGTACTAAACAGCTGTGTTAAATAGTTAGTTTTTTAAGTACAGGTCCACGTAACAATCAGGCAGCCTATATATTAAAGGTGATACATGGGGGTTCTCAGAAATTAATGATTTTTCACCCACAGTTTTTTCTTGGTCTATAAGCCGTGTATGTGGAAGGAAAAATATTTTGGGTCATTGTTACTATGGAAACCTGGACAAAGAAATTTCCCTAGCAACCGCCCAATTTTTCTTTCTAGATTGACGAAATTTCACTCATTTTGAAGGCTTTATACGTAACGTATATATAGTGATTTTTTCTCTTATTTAGTGCAGTAAGAAAGATACATTTTTAAAGCGTTCTGTCAATATAATAAAAAAAAATTACATTCTCTAATATATTTGCTATAGACACAGGTAAAGATACATGTTTCCCATTTTTTGCTGATTCAGCATTTTGCTTGATTTTAGCAAAAATCAAGTCAATTTTATTCATTTCACCATCTTAATACAACTGTTTCATCTATTTCATGTAAAACCACTGGAAAGCCTCTCTTAGAATTTGAAATAAAAAGTTTTGCAAATTTGAAAATTCCTATCTGTTGCTAAGCAACAAAAATGGATGGTTTGATTAATTAAAAAAGGAGAAAATGAAAAGCATTGCAAGAAAAATCGAATAAATTGTAATCATTGAGTACCAAAAACAAATTTTAAAATAGTAAAATATACAGTATTCTTCCTTGTATACTAAAGATTATTTTACAATAAGTTTTCTCCATAGCAACAGCAAATTTTCCTTAGCAACGAAGCATTGAAATTTATTTATAGCACATATTCATCTAATTTTTTAAAAAGATTATCTGATTCTTATTGTTGAATTGCTATTGCCCAGAATCGACATTGTCAAACTGGTTTTTTCAAAGGTATTTTTGAGTTAATTCATCCATAGCAACAGAACTTGTCTACATAGCAACAAATATATTTTATAAAGAATCAGTATGTAGCAATTCTTCAACAAAAATCTTTGTCTTTAAAGGATGTTTACTAGGCAAAAACATTCTACTTAAGTGGGAATGAATATTACTTACTTGACTTATGACTGTGGTATTTTTTTCACTTTGAAATAGTAAATCAATAACCTATTTTTCATGCTAGTGGCTTATTGAGACTCTAGAGTCTTAAAATTTCTTGCAAATTCCTGAAAATTTTGCATCATGACTAATATTTGCAACGAAAACTGGATAGTCTTACTTTTGATAAGTTTAAAAAAAAAACAGTAATCTCGTAATAAAAAAAATTAGATTTTTGATAAGGTCTACTTGTGACAATGCAGACCTGGTGAGGTATTGGTTTACCGAGGCCGAAGGCTGAGGTTAATCAGTTCCTGACAAAGTCCGTATAGTAACAAGTAGACCTAACAAGTAGAAGTCAATAACTGTATTTTAAAGTATCAGGATTTTCTTTTTTTTTTTTTTTTTTTTTTTTTTTTTACATTTTTCACAATCCACCTATTTTCTTCATCAAATATATATTAACGCCCATAATATACTTAGTATTTTGTTTTGCAGCAAGATATCATAATTATTTTTCAACAGTTTAAACTGTTTAACAAAGGTGGAAAATAGTATATTAAACTATAAATATTCAAACCATTTACTTATAAGGAGTTTACACGGTTCGGTACTGGAGTCTGTGCGCAATTTGACTGGCAGATAAAAATGTAAGCAAAGCTATCAAGATTGGCTAAGACAGAAAACCTAAATAAACAAACTCTTTGTAGCGAGACTTCTGTCTCCTGAATTACAAGATAAAAAAACTTATTTTGATGAAATTACTATATATGTAATAAGTTATAATGAGATACTAACTCATGAACAAGATAACTAATTTATTATTAAAAAAAATGACTAACTCGTTGAAACGTTTTAACAAGATAACAAACTCGTTGTAACGAGACTACTAACTCCTGGAGAATGAGATTTAAAAATTATTATAATATGATACCAAATCTTTATAAAAGCAAGATAGGAAATTCATTTTATTGGGGTAACTAATTCATTATTTAAGGAATGACTTTAATAGCTACTCCAGTTATACTGTACGGTACATGTATAACCTGCGTTGGGACAGTTTTCGCTTTATAAACCGTGAAGCGGTTAAAAAAAGCGTAAACTGTTCCAACCCAGGTTATACCAGTGTAACTTGGGCAGCTATTAATTAAATTCATTTCTGATAATTTAATTTTCCAATTAAGGCAATTTTCCTTAAGAAATGCCTTCAAATTAAGCATATTTTAAAAGTACATCAAGCCAAATAATACGTTTTTGGCGTAGGTCATTGTGACGTAGGCAACATATGTTATACGGTATAAACTACATCTTTTATTCTATCAAATGACGTGTTACAACCAGAATTAAATTATTACGAGATAACTAACTCTCGATTTTTATTATTTACTAGTCTAGTTATGACAGGATATTTACATGTAATAACTAAAAAATATTTTTGATATAACGAGCTTAATGAAAAAATAAAAGAAATACACAGAAAAATAGTGTCAGTCTTGTTTCATGAAATAAACAATTAAAGTTTGTGCTTTAACTGTAATCTAAGCTTGTTTTATATCTCCAAGTTGGTTCAATATGCAAGAGATGCTCTAGGTACGAATAATTTCTAAAAGGAGGCAAGCTACTGACAAACAAGTTGATGAAATAAGAATATCAACAGTCTTGTTTATAGTCATAGTTTCGCAAGTTCTATGGTCGATACAATGACTTTGTCAGCAAATGCAATCTATCTTTGAATTGTATGCTGACTGAACCCATTCATAGTAATTTTTTATTGATTATACCCTTAATTCCTTTGTAAAAATAGATCTCCTGTTATGGCGCCTCTATTCTCCTGGGTGGTCATGATTTGAAAAAAAAATTAAATTAACATTAACTGAGGATGCTTTTATATTTTTATGACCAATCATGGCTTTGTTGGTCTTGTGAATAATTTAAGATTTTCCCTTTGTCTTCATATTTAAAACTTTGATCGCCCATTGTGGCCCCGCCCTACCCCCGGGGTTATGATTTGAACAAGATTTGTTTTTTTAAATGATGCCATTAATTTTTCACAAAATCATCATAATATCCCTTTGGAAGAAGGTGTGTCCCTTCATCTGAACAAACTTGAATCCCCTTTACTCAAGGGTACTTTGTGGCTAGTTTGGTTGAAATTGGCCCAGTGGTTCTTGAGAGGTAGATGAAAACGTGAAAAGTTTACAATTACAACGACGACAGACGTCGGACTCTTTTTGATCAGAAAAGCTCACTTGAGCCTTCGCTCAGGTTAGCTAAAAATCCTTAGCATGACAAATTTCAAATTGGTTCCCCTAAGAAAAAGGATGATCGTTGTTGATTCTGAGGTCACAATGTCAAAGTCAAGGGTAAAAGAAAAATAACCCAGAGAAGAATTTTTTTTCATTTCCAGCCAGTGATCTCGAGCTTGGAGGAATGATCTTTATTCAATATGAGGACACACCCTCCGATCATTAGCAAGCTCTGTTTCAAGTAAAGCTACAAGTGAAACACCATTACAAAGTTGGAGTTCAGACAAGCATTTAATATGTTTTCGTCAGTGACCTTGAACTTGCCAAAACCTACATGGGTCAGGGTCATGAATTACCTACGGTCAAAAGCATTCTCTGTACAATGTATAAGCCTATTAACTCTCAATTACAAAGTTAAAGGACAAACCAGAATTTTATACTTTCTGTAAGTGAACTTGAACTTGCGCGCAAAAATGGGTTTGGGTTAAGGTCGGCTTTACTCTTAGGTCAAAAGCAATCTTTGTACCAAGTATGAGCTTCCAGTAATTCTCCATTATATAGTTTTTCTGCCAGTGAATACGAACTTGCTGGAATGACCTAGGGTCAAGGTCAACAAACACTCTTTGATCATCAGCAAATTTTATTTCATGTATGAGCTTCCAGAGATTCGCTGTTACAAAATCACTTATTACCCAGATACTTATAAAAATTTTCACCAAATGACCTTGAACTAATCAAAATGGCTTTGGGTCAAGGTCTTAACACACTTAGGTCAACAAAGCTATTACTGAACAAAGTATGAACATCCAATGATTCCCCATTACAAAGTTTTGGACTGGGCAACAACTTTTATACACCTTTTTTGCCAGTGACCTTGAACATGCTGCCATGACCTTGTGTCAAGGGCATGGCACCTCCTTGGGTCATAAGCAATCTCTGTACGAAGTATGAGCTTCCAGTGTTTTTCAAGTTATAGCGAGAAGATTGCATGGACGGAAGGACACACAGTAAAGGGATTTCTGTATAACACACACCCCAACCCCCCAACTCCCCAAGCCCCAAACTTTGTTTATGTGGGATATTTGAATATTTGTTACAATTTCAATAGCATAGGAAGATTCAACAAAAAAGTAGAAGAGCCAGTCAGACTGCACAAATTCAGTTGTACTGCAAAAATGTAATATAAATATTTTTAAAAACTTTCATGAATACATGTTTGTGCTAAATATTACTTTCCTTGCCTTGTTGCTAAGGAAAATTTTCTGTTGCCATGGGAGATGGAAATTTTTTTTAATTTAGGAATGACTCTAACTCTTGGCCAAATTATTCGAGTATAACCTGGTTTGGGTCAGTTTACGCTTTATAATCCGCGAATTATAAAACAGCGTAAACTGACCCAAACCAGGTTATACTCGAATAATTTGGCCAAGAATTCGAGTCATTCCTTATAATTTAATTTTAAAATCATTAAATAACTATGGGTGTAAAATTTCGTTACTTTTTATTAGTTCAAATTTGCCGCTCAATAATACAACCATAGTAACGGAAGTAACAAAGTTAAAGGACAAACCAGAATTTTATACTTTCTGTAAGTGAACTTGAACTTGCGCGCAAAAATGGGTTTGGGTTAAGGTCGGCTTTACTCTTAGGTCAAAACAATCTTTGTACCAAGTATGAGCTTCCAGTAATTCTCCATTATATAGTTTTTCTGCCAGTGAATACGCACTTGCTGGAATGACCTAGGGTCAAGGTCAACAAACACTCTTTGATCATCAGCAAATTTTATTTCATGTATGAGCTTCCAGAGATTCGCTGTTACAAAATCACTTATATGTATGATTTATAATTTAATTTTAAAATCATTAAATAACTATGGGTGTAAAATTTCGTTACTTTTTATTAGTTCAAATTTGCCGCTCAATAATACAACCATAGTATAATCCGCGGATTATAAAACAGCGTAAACTGACCCAAACCAGGTTATACTCGAATAATTTGGCCAAGAATTCGAGTCATTCCTTATAATTTAATTTTAAAATCATTAAATAACTATGGGTGTAAAATTTCGTTACTTATTATTAGTTCAAATTTGCCGCTCAATAATACAACCATAGTAACGGAAGTAACGGAAGTGATGGGAATCGAGGGGAGGTAAAAACTGATGCATAGGCATAGCAGCCATGTTGTTTGGTTACATGTGGTAAGATCGAATTATTATTTGAATTTAAAGGTACATTTATTAAATCTGGAATTTTCCATGAATCCCGAGGACTGGAAATGAGAGGATTGTATGGATACAGATAATTCAGCTGGTTGTCAGGGGGGGGTGTCCCCATACCAAACCAGGTTATACAGAAATAATTTGTGTTCCTTTTTGGATATTAACCAATCAGAGGCTAGAATACAAACAAAATTAAATTATTTGCATTTAGTTTACACAGAAGAATATTGTATATATTCTTTTAAAATTTGTTTTTGGTATCCAATGATTACAATATAAACATTTGTTTTTATTGACCTTTTGAATTCTGCCTACTCGTGCCCATGCGGACTTTGTCAGGAACTGATTAACCTCAGCCTTCGGCCTCGGTCAATCAATACCTCACCAGTTCTGTATTTTCACAACATCAAAAGTCAAATTTTTTTTATCAAAAGATTACTGTTTTTTTATAACTTGTCAGAAGTTAGACTATCCAATTTTCGATGCAAATATTGGTCATGATGCAAAATTTTCAGGAATTTGCAAGAAATTTTAAGACTCTAGAGTCTCAATTGGCCACTGGCATGAAAAATAGGTCATTGATTTACTATTTCAAAGTGAAATAAATACCACAGTCATAAGTCAAATAAATGATCTTTCATTCCATAAGTAAAAATGTTTTTGCCTAGTAAACATCCTTTAAAGACACAAATTTTGTTAAGGAATTGCTACATACTGATTCCTTATAAAATACATTTGTTGCTATGTAGACAAGTTCTGTTGCTATGGATGAATTAACTTTAAAAAATACTTTTTAAAAAACCAGTTTGACAATGTCGATTCTGGGCAATAGCAATCCAACAATAAGAATCAGATAATCTTTTTAAAAAATTAGATGAATATGTGCTATAAATAACTTTCAATGCTTTGTTGCTAAGGAAAATTTGCTGTTGCTATGGAGATAGCTTATTGTAAAATAATCTTTAGTATACAAGGAAGAATATTGAATATTTTATTAGTTTAAAATTTGTGTATTTGGTACTCAATGATTACAATTTATACGATTTTTCCTCCAATGTTTTACAATTATCCCTTTTTGATTAATCAAACCATCCATTTCTGTTGCTTAGCAACAGAGAGGAATTTTCAAATTTGCAAAACTTTTTATTTCAAATTCTTAGAGAAGCTTTCCTGTAGTTTTACATGAAATAGATGAAACAGTTGTATTAAGATGGTGAAATGAATAATATTGACTTGATTTTTGCTAAAAATCAAGCAAAATGCTGAATCAGCAAAAAATGGGAAACATGTATCTTTACCTGTGTCTATAGCAAATATATTAGAGAATGTAATTTCTTTTTATTACATTGACAGAACGCTTTAAAAATGTATCTTTCTTACTGCACTAAATAAGAGAAAAAATCACTATATATACGTTACGTATAAAGCCTTCAAAATGAGTGAAATTTCGTCAATCTAGAAAGAAAAATTGGGCGGTTGCTAGGGAAATTTCTTTGTCCAGGTTTCCATAGTAACAATGACCCAAAATATTTTTCCTTCCACATACACGGCTTATAGCCCAAGAAAAACCTGTGAGTGAAAAATCATTAATTTCTGAATACCCTTTGTATCACCTCCTGCCTGATTGTTACATGGACCTGTACTTAAAAGTTGTACAATATTTCCACAGGAAGAACACTGATAAGGATGAATGAAATTAAGCTCGAGAAAATTGGGATAGTAAATCCAGATCACAGGTATACTTCTGACATTTTATGATGTTGAATGTGTATTTCCTGAAATTCTAAACACAAGTTTGTTTGTAATAAATTATCATATACAAGAAATAAATCATTGAAATTTTACATTACAGAAGAGAATTAATGCAGCAAATAATAAGACAAAGATTGAAACATGAAATGACAGATTTAAAGAATATGGACCAAGAAGGTAATTTTCTAGCAAGCATTTAACAAAATTAATTATGACATATATGAAAATGTTAATCACAGTAATAAAAGTACTAGGGCATTTACATTTGTTAAAGTAAATTTGACTTGGTATATCTTTGAAATTGTAAATACTTGTGCCAAATGATGTCACGTGCCAAAAAAGCATAATACTAGTATTGGTGTCATATTTATAACCAGTTTTAGTTTTATGACCTAACCAGATCTGTAATCTCAAATGACCCTATCTGATCACTCATTGTCTGGTGTTCACCTGTCTGTGGTCCATCTGTAAATTTTACACAACATAGACTTCATCTCTAGAACTACAAAGCTAGTTTCATCTAAGTTCATTGAATTTACATGATGCATGTAATCCATGTACATATGGAAAAAAAGTCTTAAAATAATTTTCTCAGAAACAGCAAGGCCTTAATAGTATTGATATTGAAGCATCCTCATTTGTGGACTTAAGTTCAGTTAATACATGCTCCCTTGGGGATAGAGGGTCACAATATAGGATCAACATTTCTTCATGGGAATACAAGGGGGAACATTATGCCAGTGGGCCTCTTGTATTAAATAAAGGCATGTCGATTTTTGAAATTTGCACAAGACTGTAGACTTTGAAATGTGTTTAATATGGAGTATTATTGTAAGTGAGTGGATAAACAGGCATACTTTGAAAACTGTATTTGAATGAGGGTTAATAAAGGCTAAGCCTTCAGTGTGCTATATTTAATGCTATATTGGAATAAAAGATAAAATGAATAAAATGAAAAAAAGATATAATTTTAGCTAACCTGAGCTGAAAGATCAAGTGAGCATTTTATGTTCAAAGTTTGACTGGTGTCTGTCTGTCTGTAAACTTCTGACATTTTCAACTTCTCCTCCAAAACCAAAGGGCCAGTTTGAATCATATCTGCCACAAAGCATCTTTGGGTAAAGAGTAAAGGGAATTATTAAAACTTGTTCAAATGCAGAGTCATGCCCCCTTTCAAGGGGAAATTATTAAGAATTGGTGAAATTTTGGTGGCATGTTTAAAAATCTTGTTAAGAACCACTGGGCCCATAAAAATTATATGAAAGCTTCCTGACATAATGTGGTTTCAAGTTTGTACAAATCATGAACACCTCCCCCCCCCCCCCCCCCCCCCCACATTTTGCTTCATTGTAAGCATAATTCCTTATATCCATCACAACTTTTGCCAGACCTTATCATCTTGATCTTGAAGTTCCATGCAGTTTAAGAAACTTAACTTTTGGCTGTAACTTTTATTAATTAAATAATTTAAATCTTTTTTGTATGATGGACAGTCAAGACAGTAATCATTTGCCATAAATAATTGCATCCCACCCACTAAGACAACGAAAGCAGGGATCTAAACTTCTCTGAATTTGCTTGTTTGTCTCTGTTTATTATACATTGTACAATATTCTGAAATTATATACACTGATGATTAGCTGTGGCACTTATTATAATGATGGATTTGTTACATAATTTGTATCTAATATTTTGACAGGAACAGGATTTGCACAAAGCAGATACCAGTCCATCAAGGAAAAAGACAAGGACAAACATGTGGAAAACAATCACAGCTAGCTTCCTTAAACTTTAGGAAAATTAAAACTAGTCATATTGAAGGCCATAAAGTCATGTACATTCAGTGTGAATCTTAAAATTATACGTACAATTTAGCATTTTGAAAATGTTTCAGCATAATTCACAAATATGTTTGCAAGTCTGGTACTTGATTGATTTATGAACTATTTTCATGATGGTTTGAAAAGTCATGACTGTTGTCATTTATTTTGTTAATTTATCCACATTATTTCTAACAAAAACAATCATAAAGCAGATTTTGATGACAGTTTCTGTATATTTTTAGCTGTTCCACACTTCCTGGCTTAATTAGTATATGAGCACAACCATGATGTCCCTCAGTGGAATTTTTTAATGAAAATACCCATAACATTTTTATGTTGCAAAGGAGAGCTGTGAAAACATAAAACGTGATATCCATTTGAAGTCTCTACCATATGACTTAATTGAAATAGGATGGAAGTGCATTCATATCATAGCTTTCGCTTAGAACTGGCTAGTACTTAATAATTAGTGACATTAAATTAGCTTCCTTATCAAGTTTTGGAAACTTAAAAAATAAGTATCGTGGCAATACCTCTACAGCATTGTTTGAATTTGTGTCAGATACATTTAAGGAAAAAGTGGAAAAGTTTAGGACAGTTGATAAGGTCCTCATTACAATGACAACAGTTCTAGTCTGTAAAACCAAAGATGTACAATCAGAAGCTCTAGTCTTACAAAATGGCAATTCTTCTCTGTTTGTCACTTATTACATCAAGCTACAATAGATTCCACTCTTTAAGATTAACAAACATATTTTTCCCAAAGTAACCATTACATTTAACAAAGATATTTTTCCTAAAGTAACTATTATATTTAATAAAGATAATTTCCCCAAAGTAATCATTACAATTAACATGTACATTTTGCCTAAAATTACCAAAAAGTTTTTCATTTCATATGAAATATGGTTGTAATTTTCTTCTTTTAGTGATAGAATGTTGTGAGTTTACCATAATTTCATGGATTTTGAAAATTTTTATGTTTATAGTGCAATTCATGAAGGCATTTTTCATTTATGAATTTCTAGGTATCTACATAGTTAATGTTATAGGATTCTTTGAATAAGAAGATTTCTTTCCTTTTAGATTCCTTACCCAAGTCCTATATTTTTAGCTCACCTGAGCAGGTTAGTTTTTCTAACAAAATTTGTTCATTGTCTGTTGGCATTGTGAATGTTTCACATTTTCATCTTCTTCTCCTGAACCAATGGGCCAATTTTAACCAAAATTGGCACAAAGTATCCTTTGGTGTAGAGGATTCCAGTTTTTCAAATGAAAGCCCATGCCCCATTCCAAGGGGAGATAATAATGAAAAAGCAAATATAGAGTGGGGTTATATAAAAATCTTCTCAAGAACCACCAGGCCAAATGAAATGATTCTTATGTGAAACTTCCTGACCTAGTGTTTATTAAAGTTTGTTCAAATCATGGCCCAAGGGAAAGGGTGGAACCATAATGGGTGATCAAAGTTTGACATATGGAATATATAGGAAACAATCCTCAAAAACTTTTTTTTCTTATGAGCAGCAGGGCTTGACTCTCTTATTAATGTACAAGCAGCAAGCATTGTCAGGTAATGCAGATTCAAGTTTTTTTTTTAGATCATGGCTCCTGGGGTAAGATGGGACCACAGTAGGAGATCGAAGTTTACATAAAAATATATAGAAAAACATCTTCACAAGAATGGAGGGGCCATGATGAATTAATTATATTGATATGCAAACATCCTGAGGTGCAGTTGAAGTTTGCTTAAATCATGCCCCTTCCTCTCCCCTCCCCAACTGGGTAGATTGAGGCCACAGTATAGGGTATCAAAGTTTTACATGGGAATATATAGAAAAAAGAAATCTTTAAAAAGCTTCTTGTAAAAACATTAGGGCCATATTTTTTTATTATATGCAAGCATTCTCAGGTAGTGTATATTGAAGTTTGTTTAAATTATGACCCCTGGGGACAAAGGATGGGGCCATAATAGAAGATCAAAGTTTAAAAGTTTACATGATATATACCTGTATATAAAATGTTCTGAAGAACAACAGGGCAAAGGTCACTCATGTGAGTGTTGTGGCCCATGGGCCTCTTGTTTTTGAAATAGTACCAAGGCTGTTGCCTACAAACAAAAGAAATAATCATATTTTATCTTCACTCTTGGTTAAAAATCCCTCACATCCAGACCCATTTACTGAGTTCTGTAGAATGAAAATATTGTGCCCTTGAATATAAGACATAATGCATATATAATTTTTTTTTAAATTATCAAGGCAAGTTTAACAGACTTGGATCAGTTTCAGTTTATCATGATGAAAAACAGTGTATTGGGGTTTAGTGTATATGCACTAAGGAATAATTTGATATACTGTTGAATCTTCATTGATTTGAGAGGGATCAATGTTTGCTAGTTTTGCAAGTCCCTTACCAAGGATTTATGATAGCTTTGACAATTAATGTATCTGTTAATTGAATATTCTGTATACAGAGTACTTACAAAATTACATCCCTACAGACCAGTAAAATTTTACCCACAAACCTTAACCCTTTAAACATTCCTCAAAGAAAAAAGTTGTAAATATGGTACGTTAAAAGGTGTATGTAATCATTTTTATAGGCAAAATGTCTAAAGACATGTACATTAAAAATTGAATTTGTAAGATGTACTTCATTTCTACATATGTTTACCTGTATTCTCTTTATTATAAATGCATAATCAGTCTATAAGTTTTGTACATCTATAACAGAATATGATTTTGTATCACATTTTTGACATATAAAATCTATTAACAAATATATGCAAGATGCAAGATTTTTTTGTTAATTTTATGCAGATAATACTGTAAACCAACTATTATTTGCGTGATCTTTTATTCGCGATTTGTCAGTTTGAAATCAATCCGCGACAATTTTTGCAATTGAGATAACATTTTCTACAAATACAAAGCAAAATAAATGGTTCACGGCAATTAATATTCACGAGTTAAAGAAGGTCGCGAAACTCAAGGATATTTCTCGCACACGAATAAAAGTTGGTTTACAGTAGATGGGATAATGTTCACTTCTAGTGGACAAATCTAATTGACAGAATATCTGTTGTGATGAGTGTAGAGTATACAATTCTGATTCACTGTTGATGTAAACCTCTCTTTTTAGTTCCACTTCAGTGACTGTAGATCAAAAAGTTTGCTATTGCATCTAGAAGTACCTATTTTGAGCCCAGTTATGTCAGCATTTTATTTCCTTTTTAAGCTCTCTGCAGCAACTGATATGTGAATTTCCATTTCGATTGTATATACTGGATGTATCTTCTAAATAGTGCTGGTTATTTATTAAATTCTTTAAATTATCCCACTCAAAGCCCTCTACCACTTCTCTATGGTGAGCAGGGGAAAAAACAGAAATACTATATATTTGAAAATGTGACAGACCAAACCAGACCTTGAGACCATAAACTGAGAACAGACTTAAGTCAAAATTTTGATTTTGAATATCTTCAGTTAAAATTAACTAATATGCATGAAAATTTGCAGGTTAATTTGTATAATACACAAGTTCAAACTCAAGTTGAAAATTTTGTGTCATCGTCATATTTATCTAAAAAAAATATATTGATTTGAAATTTTAACATAAGTCTATTCTCAGTTTATGGTAATGGAGCCAGGATTTGAACCTGCACTCCCTTAATCATTAGGTTCTCTACCAACTGAGCTATTTTGCCACTTGTGATTGAACCTGTCTGACCACCACATTCCTCCCTCCTTAAAGGTCGTTGCCCCAAAGACACCAACTCAAGCTCTTCTCTAGCAGGTTTTTCACCTGTCATTTCCTGGGCATGGTCAAGGCACCAAATGTAACCTATGAGGAGAAAAATGGATGGATCAGACCAGGATTTGAACCCAGGGCCACCTGAACCACTGCATTTTTAGATCTATTACTGGTCAGAGACCAGAAGAGATTCTGTGATAGTAAGGTGTCTGTCTGTAATTTGTTTGTTGTTTAACATTCCTCTCAAGAATTTTTCACTCATATGGAGACGCCACCACTTGCCGGTGGAGAGCTGCAAATTTTGACCTATGCTCGGCACTTAGGGCCATTGAGCAGTGAAGAATCTTTTTCGTGCCAGCATCTACTGTGACACGGGACCTCAGTTTATATGGTGTCATCCAACGGACCGGTCTTCATGTCCCACAGTGAGATTCGAACCTGCGACGTACGATCAACTCATTACTCCGCGATTCCAGAGCAGATTCTCTACCACTGCGCCACACGGGCAACATGTCCATCTGTAAACGATTTTTCAAAATGCTCCTCCTACAGTTTTGGTCTGATTTTAATATAACTTGGCATGCAAGTAGACTACACTGAGATACATAATTCTCTGTATTGTTTTTTTTTTTATTTTGATGTTACCATGGTTTCTCAAAATAACAATGTCTGTAAAATTCTTTCAAAAGGCTACTCCTCCTATAGTTTTAGTCTGATTGCAACAAATCTTTGCACAAAATGAGACTAAACCAAGGATCATGATTCTATTTATTGCTGTTGCTAAGTTTCAAGTCTAAATACTACTTTTCTCTTCCTTTGTTTTTAGTACAAACCAGTAGAGCTACAGTTTGTCACAGACTTCTGGTTTGACCTAATTACGCTCTACAACTTAAATGCCAAATCTCCCGACTTAGGAAGTTTCGGTTTTAAAATTATTGCAAAGAAAAATGAAGCATTACAAATGTTAAGGATTCAGGGTTTTCTGGAGAAAAAAAGGTTTAATACATGTGTTTTTTCACTTATGAAATAGTGATTGAGAGTGATCTCCTCTGTAGAATTCTCCAGACCCCAAGACCATTAACTTAGAACAGACTTAAGTCAAAATTTCAAATCAATATAACTTTTGAAATAATTTTGATAACAAAATATAATTTTACAATATATGTTTAAATTGAAATATCATAAAAACCTGCAAATTTTTGATAAATTATGTATTATAAATGACAAACTATTCAAAATCAAAATTTTGACTTAAGTCTGTTCTCAGTTTATGGTCTCGAGGCCAGGCAGTGAAAAACAATAAAGCGTATGTTATAGATGTAAACAAAAGCATGTGTACTTCCTTCAATGGGTAGAATTATCTATACAGCAAGAAAGAAAGGTAGTAATGGCTTTGTTGTACATTGTATTCAGGGGACAAAGAGCCAACAGGTTGTCATAGTTATGCTCAGTATGCTGGGAATTAAGGGCAAAGATGTGACATATGCTGAAAGGTAGACCGACTGAGATCAGTTCTTAGGTTGTATGAAGGAAGCAGCATTTAGTAACTACCAATACAAATTAAAATAAATCCATGCCAATATTTTTATGACAATGTGTTTCAATCAATTAAGTTAATTACATGACATAAATGATTAACCAGTCTGACTCTCAGAGTCTCTTGATTATTATGAATACTATGTGATTATAGCTTTTAAGGGAAGTAACTAAAAAATAAAGATTGGTGCCGGTATGTCCTTGTCTTGTTTCTATATATACATTTTAAGCCAAAATATCTAGAAGTCATCGGAAATGAAGATACAATAATGTATATAATACAAAAGGCCCATGGGCCACAACGCTAACCTGAGTAACTTTGGCCTTGCTGTTTTTCACCTGATTCCCCCCCCCCCCCCCCCCCGTTGTACTTACTGTTGCCCCGCCCTACCATCTGGTGTCATGATTTGAACAATTTAGAATCTACACTACCCCAGGATGCTACCACATAAGTTTCAGCTTTCCTGGCCCAGTGGTTCTTGAGAAGAAGATTTTTAAAGATTTTTACTATATATTTCAATGCAAAACTTGGATTCCCTATTATGGCCCCGCCCTACCCCTGGGGGTCATGATTTGAATAATTTAGAATCCACACTACCCCAGGATGCTTCCACATAAGTTTCAGCTTTTCTGGCCCAGTGGTTCTTCATCATCAGATTTTTTAATGAGCCCACCCAATTTTTGTATTTTCTTGATTATCTCCCCTTTGAAGGGGACTTGGCCCTTCATTTAACAATTTTAACTCCCCTTCACTCAAGGATGCTTTGTACCAAGTTTGGTTAAAATTGGCCCAGTGGTTCTTGAGAAGAAGTTGAAAATGTGAAAAGTTTACAGACAGATGGACTGATGGACGACGGACAACGGGTGATCAGAAAAGCTCACTTGAGCTTTCAGTTCAGGTGAGCTAACAAAAGCTATATGAAATAAGTGGTTTTGGAGAATGTTATGGTGAAAAATTACGTTGGTCCCTTTTAACAACATTTAACATAGGAAATGCATTGAGAATTGCAAAAACACTAATTTGACAAAATCTAAAAAAGAAGGTTGGCTTGGTAAGTTAAACAATCCAGAATATAGCATGTTTAGTACAATTAAACCTACTCAAGAGTTCTTGAAAAATTCTATATGATAACCAGGAACCTTGCCAATGTCCTTAATCGTTATACAATTCTCAAGCATCTATTTCAAGAACACCTGTCCAATGGACAGACACTTGCATAAATGTCAGGACTGAAATTAACAAATGAGGTAGTTATTGAAATAATTTCACACTCTTTTTCATGTGTAGTTATCCAGTCCCATAGTATCATGTTAACAAATGTCCTCCAAGTATGTCTGTTAAGTTTCTGTTTTATGTGAATTCACCTATTTTCTGCATTGAGAGAAGAAAATCTGCTGCATAAAAGTTCAATCTTACAAATTGGTAGAAAACTACAATTGTCCAGGATAGGCAAGCAGATCTGCACTATGTACTCCTGGAGATTTACTGTACCGGTATATATTCTGCCTTACAATTCTGTCTGAAGTGCTGATTTTTTTTTTTCTATGTCAAAGAGATTTGAAATTAAGGAATTTGCTTTCTACCTGATATTTTTTTTGGAGGGGGGTGGGTTATATTTTATCTTATGCTGGAACAGGAGTCAAGTTCAATTGACATTATCCAACTCTTGATTAAGAAAAGAATTCAAATTTTAATTTACATGACCAGTAATATCATTTAACATTGCATGTATAAATCTACAGGTATCTGAAACATTGTACATGTAAGGTTACACAACTTTCCAGTGCAAATCAACTGGGTTTGGAAACTTCTTTTTCCTCATTGGACAAACTATTGTCAGGAACATTCTGAGTATCTGTAGTATCCTCATTGTTAACAGATAAACCATTGTCCATAGATGCAGCAGATAAGACATCAGTATTCCTTGATTCTTGTGTTGGCTCAGTTTTTTCATTTTCCGGTATGTCCTGGCCTGCTTCGTCAATCCCCTCCCCCTCCAGTACAAGTTCCCCGTAGTAAGCTGTGATTGTCTTTAGTTTATTGTTAAGCATGTTCTGCTCTATTTCTACCTTTCCTCCTGGACCAGCCATTGAGGTCAGCTGTAAAATTTTATCAATTTTCTTTACACTTAACACTTAATAAAATAAAACTTTAAAAATTTAGGCATATTTGGTAGTACCACCAATCTATAATATCAAGAAATATCATTCAATCTTACCTGTTCAACATTTGCATTTCTTGGTACAAAAAATGCTATATTGTCTGTAATTTTTCTTGCTACTGAAAATATTGCTGATGTAAATAATTAAGGAAATCTTAATTTGATTTACTTCAAATATACAATTCATAGGAAAAATAAAGACTAAACAAAGTTTTTAATCAAGAAGAGTTATTTTTCATACTATCAACAGGGCTCTCCCTCTCTTTCTTGCTTTCTATTTCTTCTTACACAAAAGTACATGTTAAAATATACTGGAAAAGGATATGATTTCAGTTCAATCATGGTCTCTAGGTCAAACACGTCTGCCTCCAAGTACTCTGGTCCTCCCCAAGGAGGGCTCAAAAAGACAACATCAGCTTTGAGGTTTGGAGCAATATGGAAGTAGTCCCCTATGATAAACTCTATTCTGTCCTCCACACCATAAACCCTGGCATTGTGCTGGGCAATAGCCACTCTCTCTCGGTCAATGTCTATTGCTATTACTTAAATGACAAAGAAAAATCACTGGAACTTTTTTATTCCAAATGTACAGGAACATATATATAACAACCTGGTAAAAAACTGAAAAATATAATACTAATTCTATGGAAATGCCATCTTTCAACTTCTGTAGAATCACTAGTTTTCATGGGGTATGAAGAGACCCATGAATTCATATCCCCTACAAATTGTTAATATTCTGTGCTACAGAACTGCAATAAGTGAAAGAGCTTTAAAAATGCCTGTCACTTTACCTCTTTCACAAGTGAATGCAAACTGTATGGCATTCCCTCCAACTCCACAAAAAGCATCTACTATGACATCACAGCGACATCTGTCTGCTATATGTTCTGCTATCTTTTCTGGCGTCACGGAGAACCAACCCTCTATAAAGGAAAGGGTAAAGGTTAAAAACAACCAAAATGATTATGAATGCATACTAGTCATCTAATACAAAAACTGGGAACAGATATACGTAATATATCTAACAGCAGCTAGTATGTAAAATTAAAATTGAACAAAGACACTCTTTTCTACATATATGATACAATATTTCACTTACCCCTATCCAGCTTAATTCCCTCATCAAATCTAGAAAACAGCCTGTATCTCTGAGCCCAATACTTCCTTAAATCCTCACTGCTGGCCACCTCTGGAGGCATCTTCACCATCTTCCTTTTCTTCCTCTTCTTTTTCCTGCGATTGGCACTTGCTTTTGACACATTTACTCTTTCACATGCATCAGGTACCTCTGTTGAAGACAAATCATCCTTCTCGATAGGAGAGTCCAAGGCCTCTTTTAGATTCATTTTTTGTTCAGATTTGGAGAAATTTCCCATTGGAATGTCCTCTGAAGATGATGAAGAATCCGAACTATCATCATCCATTACATCATCAGGTGTGACAACTAAATCATCCTCTGTCTCAACATCAGCCAAGGATTTTCCTTCTTTATCCAGGAAACGTTTCACTTTATTTAGCATTTTACTCTTTGTAAAAGTTAATTTTTCACCTCTTTCATCATACCAGAAGTGTTTTGGTTGCTTTCCTTTGTCCATTTTCTTGCTTTTCCTGTAAGCTTTTTTATCTCTGTATGCTATCTTTTCTACAGTCATTTTGGGAGTTTTCACAGACCTGATAATTTAAGGAGAAAATGCATTGAAAATACATCCACTTGTTTGGAATTTTTCAAGGTCATACAACACTTTCATAAAATTTGTATCCTATGTCTACTCATGAGAGAAAATGAACTCTGACACCAATTTAATAATTAATCAGTCATGTCAGTAGCTGCATACTTAAAGCCTCACCTTCCAGTTTCATCTTCATTGTTGTCTGGTAGTGCAAATCCCATGAATTTTAATCCTTCCCTGCCATCCTCTTCAAAATCAATGGAATCATCTAGAGCATGACTGTTGATGAAATGACAACTTATTATCCTTCAGAGTATTACAGTCAATTTGATTGGTCTAGAGCATGACACATGCAGGGAGACAATTCGTGATGTCTCCTCTACAAGCAGGGTGACAACTCTGTTGTTGACCTTCAAATGACAATACAATAATGCGAGCATGCAGCATGACATGTTGTTTTCCTTGAGATGAAAATGAAATGTTGTAAGCAGTTTTAAAACTCTGATATAAATAATTTATGTGTAGGATCAGTAAAGAATAAATTCTTATGATGACGCCAAAGATGCCTGTTGACATATTTAGAAAGATGGAACAATATTAGTGGGCAGGAGAACACAAGAGATTTGTTTGACATTTTATGCTTTATTTTCTTAAATTTAAATTCTTTAAGATAATAAAACTATTATGGACTGTTAAGTAAGAAGACATAACAAATTATCAGGTATCTGAGTAAAGTTGTCACCCTTGGGCGCAAGTGCCCTCATATGACAACCCTACTCAGACCTGATTATTTGTGATATCTCCCTACTAAACAATCCATAATTGTATATTATCATAATTGTAATCTACAATTAATTATCAAGTAATGGAGAATAGTGAAAACCAGAAATGATCGGCAGAATTGAATTAATGTGAACATCCTCACTCCATTATAAAACTTTGTAAAATTCATCAGTGCATGCTTTCAATTCTTTTTTAAGACTTCAAGTCAACACTAATGTTATTTTAATATATACTTGAGATTTCTATGAGATTATCATTAACAACTAGTTGCCTTTTTTCTATTACAAGGCTTCATTAACTACCTTTGTGGAATTTTTCTGGGATTATCATCGGGAGGATCCTCTCCTCCATCTCCAGTCCCACCTGACACTGTCCCTGGCATAGATAGGCTGTTAGAGCCTCCAGACTGACCGCTTACACCTACAGTAAAATAATACATGTATCTATAATTCAAAAACATAAATTATTGCGATTCTCAATGAAATATACAAGGACAACTTAAAATCTATTCCCTTTAAGTAACAGTATTTATACTGTCAAGGTTTAATGTCCCTGTTGAAAAGTTGTGAGCCATTTTATTTCTCTAAAGCTTAATACTATATGTTAAATTAGTTCAGTTTAAAATTTTGTCCTCTTAGGATGAGTGTACAAATATATAGGGCAAAATTTTCCTGACATCCAGTTTTGTCTTACTTGATACATTCTGTACTTCAGACTGCTGTGTATTCCTGTGGCCTGCTTTCCTCTTCTTCCCTTCTCCAGATCCATCTTCCACCTCATCTTCCTCAGTTATCTCCTCCTTATCAACAGACACTTCATCCTCCACTGGCTGCTCCTCACATAAATCATCACCTGACCTGCTCTGAACTATGACCTGATCTTTTGCAAGTGGTTCAATGTCTTGGTCCTTCTGAACACTAAGCTTGTTAAATTCTGTAAGGAACTGATTATAGTAAAACCAATACAACTCTGTGTAATGTTCATTCCAAAGTTCCTGCCAAGCTACATCATAATTTTCCTGGTCATATGTTTCATCCTGAGATACCTCACTCCCATCATTCCAACAATCTATCCCAGAATTCTCTTCACCAACATCAGGTACAGCCTCACTTTCATTTTGATAAGGCCCACAAGATGAGTAGCTATGCATCAAATTCACCATCTCTGTCTGCTGATTGGCTATGTTTTCTGTGACTGAAGTTGACTGATCTAAATTACAGTTCACTATTTCTGTCTCGGTTCTCTCTTTCATTACATTTTCAATGGCAGCATTATAAGACTCCTGATACCTGTTAGAAGTCTTGGACAAAACACATGAGGGGCTTCCTGTGTTTAATATGTCCACTGCAATATTTACACAAGATTCTCCAGTTTCATCAACTTTATCTTTAGTGTCAGAATATTGAACACCATCATTTCCTTTTGAAGTTAATGTAAGAGGCTCATTCTCTACTAGCTCATCCTTTTCTTCAGACGAATTCTCTCCTTGCTCATTCTCTCCTTGCTCATTCTCCTCCCCTCCAATCTCTACCTCAGCAATGCATGGGACTCCTAAGTACATTCCAAACTCTATTTGTTCTGGATATTTATTTACCCATCCCTCCCACACTAAATATTCTCCATACTGTTCCCAGTAACTGTGCCAAGCTGGCTCAAATTCAAGTTCTCTGTAGCCTGTTATGTCTCCAATATCAACAAAAGAATTGGTCTGATATGTTTCTGTTGATTTTTTCTTTCTTTTACTTTGCTTTTTTCTTTTCCGTCCATGTGATTTTTTTGTCTTTGGCTTGTAAAAAAAAAGACATGAAGGGCATACATTACAATGCGTTTATATACACATTAAGCAACACATTGTACTGTTCGTAGAAGTACTTTTTACCGTGTGGTATTAATTTATGCTATAAGTATGTACACAGTCAAATTTTCTGTGGAATTATGTCTCAGCATACTTAAAGCATATTATGGTAATCAAAGAAATCTGCGTAATTTTCTACCCAGGATTGAACAGATATTGTGATTCCACGGAATTTTTACCCCATTTAAAAAAAGAAAATATTTACAGTAAAAATTTTCTTTCAGATTTGCAAAAAAGAAAAGAATAGCATTAGGGCTATACATTAGAACTTTAATATACAGTACATTTACATGTTAACTGCAATATGTTCTTTATTTATTTAAATAGAAACTTTAGACAAATTACCTTTGAAGAAACTTGTTTTGTTCCAAAAGATGTAGGTAGGCCAAGGGCTGCCATAAGAGCTGCTTCTTCATCTAAACATTCTTTTTCCTCCTCCTCCTCAACTCTGTCATCTTGATTAGCATCAACATCATCATCCTCTTTACCTTCCTCATCCTCTTCAGATTTGGTCAAGTTGCCATCGTTATTTCCATCACTCTCAGCATTACTAGAATCTTCAGCATTGTACCCTAATCTGCATAAAGCTCTGTCACTGCAAATTTAAATAAAATTCAAAAGTGTAATCAATCACTGTAAATTTCTTACAGACTGATAAATAAATATTTTTTCTATAAAAGTATATACTAGTATTCAGAAGACTTTTTTATTCTATTGTTACATAGAACCTACTGACTTGTACTGCAAACTTTACCAACTGTTTGTGTGTTTGAAAATGTCAAATTTGGTGCTTTATTTAAATGTGAATTCAGATTTGTCTGAAATCTATATGTAGTATACTGTGGAATCTTTTTAATTCATGGTGGTCAATGTTTGTGGGCAATGAAAATTTTGGTTCATGGGAACACAATTTTCTGGATAATTTAATCTGTATTTACAGATTCAATGAATCAAAATGTTGACAAAGTTACTTTCATGGGGATCTAAACTCCTGGTTAAAAGTAACCCATGAAATCCATGATCATTGGTCCTCCATGAACAATAATGATTCCAATGTATATGCATGTAACTGTCAGCACCAATTTAGATAAAGAACCCTCTGCTCACAAACATTAAACTTTTACACAAGTATGAAAACTCCCAAGCATAAAATGGTGACAAAAATGAAATTCAAGAAAATTAAGATTTAGAATACAGGACAAAATTGAGAAATCATTGTTGATTGATTGATTGATTGTATGTTGTTTTACGTCCCTTTCGAGAATTTTTCACTCATATAGAAACGTCACCATATACCGGTGAAGGGCTTCAAATTTTGACCTTTACGCGGCACTCAGGGCCATTGAGCAGTGAGGGATCTTTATCGTGCCAACGCCTGCGGTGACACGGGGCCTCGGCTTTTAAGGTCTCATCCGAAGGACCCGCAACTTTCACTTCAAAGTACCGAGCGCATGGCGAAGGAACAGTTGCTACCCATTTTTTATCGACTTAGGTCAGTCGCGGCCCAGATTTGAACTCACGACCTCCCAATCACGGAGCGAGCACTCTACCGACTGAGCTACTGTGAACGGTCAAAATCATTGTTGAAGATGAAATTTCATTTTATGAAGGAAGCAGCAATTTATCAATTGTAAAAAGTCATTCAAAGTCAAACAATTATAATAATTTCATCAAATGTCTTTTAAGTGAAGCACATATAATAATGAAAACATAAAAAAAAAAAAATAAAAAAAATATGTATATGATTCAAAGATACTGAAATTCTCTTTATAAGCACTATTTTCAAAAGATAGCCCCATTCTCTCTAAATTCTTTAAATCTCATGTATGTTCAGTCACAAGGGGTGAACCAAGGACATGCACTCACCTTATGGATGCTCTGGTACAATGACAAGTCACCATGCCAGTCTCATTATCATGTAGGTAAAGTTCAAGATCTGCTATATGACTCCAGTTGTAACACATCTAAAAAGAACATTTCAATCAAGTCAATATGATCAACTTTTGATTTGAAACTCCTAACAACTTTATACCTTACACTTATGCTTGAAATATTAAATCTTTTTCAAGAACAAAAAGAGTTGAATAATACATTGAGGGTCTTTTTTTGGTCAGATCAGCTAGACTTAGTCGGACAAAATGATTACATAAATCTTTCCCACAGTTTCTGCTAAATGTTTTGAGTAAAACTCATTCAAAAAGCACAAAATCAACTAAAAAAGTTAACTTGTTGAAAAATCAAATTCCATCAAAAATTGTACATGCCAAATCAAATGGTATCAGGTTCGTTCGCCCTGTCTACCTGTTCGCATGAGTCCGTTTGTGCAGGGTCCATTGGCCATTATTCTTGTTCGTCCTATATTTCGTAATTAAATATTCAAATTTGATATTGATGCTTTTTACACGCTTAATTGGTTTAATTATACTTAATAATGTCACTGTAATTTAGGGGATCATATCCGTGTTTTTACAATCTGCGTTATGTTTTGAAAACAATTAAAGGACTGAGACATTAATTTCTGTTGGTCTGTTGGGTCTTTGATAGGACAGGTATTTATAGTGTGACCACATGCATATGTCTGTTGTCTCCCCTGTGCAATTTATGTACCAATGTACATATAATTTATTTTTAAAAATCCATTGGTTCATAATTCAACTTTCTGCAACTTTATAAGGCAAATGGACCCTGTGCGAACAAGTTTTAGGGCGATCGGACTCTGGACAAATGAGAATTAGGGGGATAGGCATCAAGGGCGAACAAATTTTAGGGCGAACGAACTAGTCCGAAGTATCTGACGTTTTCCAGGCTTTTTTCACGACTTTGATATTTTACGTGCCAGGAAAACGTCAGAACCGGCACCATTACGAAAACTGGAAATTCGCCGCCTCCAACTGGAGGCGGCATTCTCGGATTGATTTTCGATACTTCCGAACCGAATCAAATGCTGAATTCACAACTTAGAAATAGTGCAATGTCTTTAGTACTCACCAACATCGTTTTTATGGTTTGTTTATGAAATATACAGTCTGGTGAAAACATTTTATCAGACGGTCGAGTTTTGTTTTCATTTCGTGCATTTTAAAATCTTCAAGACCTGTATCGAAATGTGGAGTGATGTTTTCTTTTCATCGATATTGGTGAGTACTAGAAGCATTGTGCTACTGATAAATTGTAAGTTGGCATTTATTTCAGTTCACAAGTATCGAAAATCAGCTCCGGTTGGAGACAGTGAAATTTCCAGTTTTCGTAATGGCACCGGTTCTGACGTTTTCCTGGCACGTAAAATATCAAAATCGTGAAAAAAGCCTGGAAAACATCAGATACTTCGGACTACGAACGAACATACAACCAAATCAAATACATTTAAAGTAGAATTCATATCATTCCAATAAAACTGCATCATATTGAAAATAGAATGATCAAGAACTACCATTTATTCAGTGAACATACTCATAATTTCAGTTGTAGCTTTCAATACACTCTACCTTGTTGCAGGTGCTGTTTTCTTTTAAACCAAATATTCTGTTTGCTAACGGGTAAATATATGATCATTAAACCCGGGGAGGAATAACTTCATTGTACTTTATTATAGTATTTCACTGAGATTTCTGGACAGTACTCAAGCAACCAGTAAACTCCTTGCCAGACTGAAAACTAATATCTAGATTAAAATTTAGTGGGTTTTTTTTTCACAAGCCGGTCAATTATCAAGCATGACACCCCCCCCCCCCACACACACACACACAACACACTCTCACACAGCTGTCCATTGATTCAATCGCATCATTAATTTAGATTTACATTGTATGCCAGTAAAATTCAATGTCTAACTTAAAAGAGAATCTAAATATACTACCTTGCAGACAAACTTCACAAAGAAAAATAAAGCATTCACGCCGTTTCTCCACAAAGTGAAAGTAAGGATGACAATCTTGCCTTCAATGCCAGGAGAGTTGAACTCATTCGGATTCGGCAAGTATCGGACGATTTCGTACAAAATCTTATAACAACTTCTTTAAATCAGTGAATTTATTCATTTATCTTTTTAATGTTTATTGTCAAAACACAAAATGATAATAATGTAAGCTTATGAAAGTAGTATAGTACTGTTACAGGCCAGTAGGAAGCAATTTCAGTGAAGTTGGGGGGGGGGGGGGGGGCACAACCATACATTTTCAGCCGGGGGGGGGGGGGCTACCGAAGAAAAGTTTCTAGAGAAACCGAAAAAGGGGCATCATCAGACAAAACTAATTTAAAAAATCAAAGAAAAAAACCCACACACAGGAAGAAAATCAGGGGAAAGGAACAAAGGGAACACTGAATTCACACATATACACGTGTACTATATTCGGGGAATGGTGAATTAAGCTGTTAAATTTACTGCAGTCTGATTAAAACCAGCCCCCTTCTCCCATTGTCGTCAGAAGAAGGGGTCGGTTTTAATCAGACTAAAAAACAGTTAATATGCAACAGAAAAACATATTTATATTGAGCAATGTGCTTTACTTTTATCACAAAAATAAATAAAACAGTACTGATATCAATGGACTTAAAAAGATGCAAGAGTTTTGTGTTCAAGTTGTAGTTAAAACGTTAAAATTATTATTTATCAGTCTTGGTCAGTCGGTGCCAATTTTCCTGAAAATGAAGAAAGTCTTTGTTGTCCTTTATTCTTTTCGGTGGATGACAGACTTCGAATTTTCTCTGGGGTCTTCTTAGGTACGGATTTTGCCGAATTGACACAAACAGTTTGTTCTCTGCGTATTTTACGTTTCACACTCTCTTCACAATTATCTTCTCCACTGACTAAAATGTCTATGATTTTGCATTCCTCTAGACTGGTTTCGAACCGCCATGTTTTATCCTTAACAGCGTTATTCTTCTTTCGCAAATGTCTAATTAATATTGATGAGTGAGCACCACTATCAATCAGTTCACGTTTTCTTTTCTTCAACTTTTCCATCCTCTCTCTTATTTTTGCTTCCGATCGTATGTATTCTTTGTTGAAGAGATCAAAGTCTCTTTCATACTGGCGAATCTCCCTCTGACATTGCCACGACAGTTTACGGTGAATTCCGTAATACTGGGAACGTTTAGGTAAGGCCTTTATTTTCTCGAAAAGAATTTCACTCTCCACTGATCTGCCCTCAGAAGGTACTTCCGGACCCATATCATCCATGTTCAAAGAAATCAGCAAACTGTTGGGAAACTTCAAGTGTTTCCAACTTTTATATCAATAGTTAAATACATCTTTACATAATGTCTGAGAATTAACGTATTTTAATAACCTTGTCATCTGTCTGTTTGATTGATAAGGTGATAAGCCCATTCTCAAATTAACGCAAAATCTTTTAAAATCAAACATTGGGGAATTTGTTTTTTTATAAAAAGTGTTTAAGTCTACGACTTAATGCTTTTGTCGACAGTTGGATACACATTTAGAACGCTTATCTAAATGTTTTGGAAATGCGATAAAATAGAAAGTCACGGAGAGTCTGTTTAGCAATTTGTCACTCCAAAGAGATTTTAACAGCCTGCCCAAAAACAGCCCTGACTGAATTTAGACAAATTAGAAAGGTTGTTGGCCTTTTTAGAAACTGTAAAAGGGATAAGCTCCCTCACTAAGTGATTTCTGTCGCTGCAAAATACAATAAATTGCACAGAAATCGACATTTTACTCTGTATTCACTTTATTTTCGTCAAAAGTTATTTATATTAGTTTGAAAATTGCACTAAAAAGATTTACTTAACTGCAAGCTTTTGGTAATTAGTCAGACACTCCAATTTCATTAGTAATCTATAGATTAATAGACTTGCTATATGTTTAAAGAAATGCATAATTAAAAAAAAAAGGGAATTGGAAAGACACGTATTTTTAGAATATTGTAAAACTTACGGACGAAGTTCTTTGGCTATGAAATAAGTAAATTTGACAATTTACTCATTTCATATAACAATAAATAAAGAGAAATGCGATCTCATTGGTCTTTATAAGCCAAAAACATTTTGTAGTTTGTTGTATATCACCTAAATATAATAGTCAGTTTATAAGTCTGTTGTACTGTACACTTTCACCGAATCGATTCATGAATGCTGATGTCCAGAACCCCCCACTCCCCCTCGTTTCATTGACCTGAATACAGACGGTATTGTGCCCTTACCTCGCCCTCGCAATATATGTAGTGAACATATACCAAATTGACGTGTCTTTTGCTTCCTTCAGTCAGTGAAGGGATAAATACAAACAGGCACGTATGTAGGACAGGAGGGAGGAGGCAGGTCCCCCCCCCATTTTTTATGACTTTTTGGCTAGGCCTTAGTACCCCTCCCCCAAATAAAACCTCAACTGCTCCCTTCTCCCTTTGAAAAATCTGTTTTAAAGTTTTCCTTGCTCATAAATTAATTTCATTGCAAATATTTTTACAATTATGAATATTGTAAATCCCCCCTTTTTTTTTACATACAGTGTTTTAAGTTGTATCGTATTTGAAAATTATCTGCATTCTGGTAGCATCGTATATGGTGCTATATTGATATGCAAAATATCACCACACGTAGTATCGGAGGGAGGGCTTCCCCCCTTGCCAAATATAACCTTTTACTGTTGAAAATGTTCATTTAAAGGCTCATTATCCCCCCCCCCCCCCACCTTGTTGCAATATAGTAAAATCAGGGTAATGGGGGTAATGTATATTCTTTAAAAAATGGTTATGTTAAAATGTAAAAAGTTTAAGCCTACTGGACATCACCCCACCCCACAAAATAGGATTTTTTCGAGACTGGATTTTTTTTTCTTGCTTGTCCAAGTTTTTTCCTTATAATTTATCACCCCTCCCCCCTTTCTCAGAAAACGATACCACGTGCCTGCACCAGGTATGTTGTTCAATCTTAACGTTCTAAGCATTTTTCTTTGTAAATAATCCAAATTATAATAATGACGTTATAATTATCTTCTTTAAAAATCATCATAAATTCAGGGAAACCGGATTTATCACGTCCAATGAGTTTCTGTTTGATATTACTTCACTTCATCTGTTTCCGGTTTAAAAAATTGGCGGCACATGCTATTTAAAAGTTTAGAATAGACCAAAAAAGTGAAAGTACTCGAAGGTTTGTTTTGTTTTCTGACTTTTCTGAACTATATATACTCCATTGATGTTTGCACTTTAAAACAGAAGGTACTGGGATAGAATTTACCAAGTTTCTGCTCTATCAATGTGCCAATCTCAGATTTATCTCAGTCTCAAAATATTCACCAGGTCTGGTACAATCACTAGATTTAGCTACGTAGCTTGAATTACCTACATAGCTTTATTTACCTACCTGGAGTAGCTTTATTTAGCTACTAAATCAAACTTATTTCTTAAAGAAGAATTTTTCCTAGAAAGTGCAGAAAATTGCACTTTGATGCAGTGATAATTTTCAACTTTGAACTCATCTGAAAACAATTCATGAAAAAATCACTCTTGGAGATGTGTCTTTTTTTGCGCAATTGCAATCAAAGTTCTACAAGTTTTGGGGCTACATACAACAGTTAATTTGTGACCCAACAGTTACTTCTTGAGTGTAATAACAAAGAAAACCAGTTTTGGTTAACATGAGCACAATTTGAAGTTATCATACTTATCCACGCCTCATCGCGCACAAGGTGTACAGTTACTCAAACAATGGGAATACATATTTTCCTTAAAAGTGATCAAATGCAGCAATGTTAAAACTATCTCTGCTTTAGATTGCTTTTTAAATGATACCTAGAATAAATATTAGTAGACATTTTCTTGCGACTTTTTGTCTTTTTAAAATAAAAAGCAAAATTGTGAAAAGTTGCCTTGAAATAGCTAAATAAAGCTACCTGAGGTAGGTAAATAAAGCTACGGTAGGTAATTTTAGCTACGTAGCCACAGGGGCTTGCTCCCGGCGTGTAATAATTATTTATTTAAAAAAAAATCATATACATTAATACTAAAACTACGCAAGGGAGGACGCCATTTTGGACCCCTTCCTCGCTTCAACCTCTGTTTTCGTTATATTTTCCCGTATTTTACTGACTCACCGCCTCTGATCTGTCAAGTAATGATTCTTCTAGGACATAATGCTTAAATTTTCCCCTTGGAACCTCTACAATACAACATTTCAGACTTATAATAATCCAAACTCTCTTTAGGACAGTTGATAGGGACAGAAAACGAAAGTAACCTCGGCGTTTTACATTCGAATACGGAATTAGAACGCGGTTTTTTCAAATTTATAATTAGCAGCTGTGTTAACTAGTAGAAAAAGCCCGAGATTTTCGAATGTGTTTTCGTTTTCTGTCCCTATCAACTGTCCTAAAGAGCGAGTTTGGATTATTATTAGTCTGAAATGTGTATTGTAGAGGCTCCAAGGGGAAAATTTAAGCATTATGTCCTAGAAGAATCATTACTTGACAGATCCGAGGCGGTGAGTCAGTAAAATACGGGAAAATATAACGAAAACAGAGGTTGAAGCGAGGAAGGGGTCCAAAATGGCGTCCTCCCTTGTGTAGTTTTAGTATTAATGTATATGATTTTTTTTTTAATAAATAATTATTACACGCCGGGAGCAAGCCCCTGTGACGTAGCTAAATGTACTGATTGTACTGGACCTGTTCACAAGGTTATATTTTAATTTGCATTTTCAAAACTAGACATGAAAGCATAACATGAGTAAAATTGTAGTGCTTTTACTTAAGTTATGGACATGCATTTGTTGATCTTCATTTTAGGATGTCCTCCTTTATGGGCACACCCCAATTCTCACACCAAGACTGGTTGGAAAATGCAGCCAGACAGGTAGATAAACAACTTCAGGATGACAGAAGCTACCAAGAATTGTCTGATCAACTTAAAGTTCCAGTTCACAGTATGTACTCGCATGATAAAAATTTGAGGAAATGAATATTAATTAACTTGTAATATCAAATTCAATCTTCATTATTTCAGTGTAGTACACATACATGTGATTCTTCCGGCGGGAGACAAAATCTCCCGATATTTCACCCCCCTTCCGCCCCTCCCGATTAATTTTTAAATCTTCCATGTTTTAAAATTCTTCAAATTAAATATTATTTGCAATATTTTTTTTTATCATGTTTCATATAATTGCTTAGAATAAAAAGAAATTGAGATAAGAACGCCAGTGCAATAAATTTTCACAGCGGTAGGCTTCGTAGGAATCAACATGAGGTTGTATAATTATGTTGTAAAAATTAGTGATATATCAACTTGATAAAATTAAGGCCATTGATGTTTATTACTGAATGCAAAACATTGTAATTAGTTGCTAAAATACCCAGTTGCCATCTTCTAATGCTGCTTTGGTCATTAAAAGACACACTTATAATGTAGGTCACACTCTAGTTAAAAATAGATCACACTACAGGGTGTTGCTAAAATATACCTACTCTAATTTGTTCATTTTTTTAGAGGGTACTTTTTCCATCTGTACATATTCTATTTAAACACAAATCACTGACATAGAATTTGTTACATAAAACCTAGCTATGTTTTACTTCACTTACTAGTTGATATATCAATACTAAATCAAAATTAAAATTTTATCCAATGTTTAAATGATGCTGTTAACTCTTAATTAATTTACTAAGAAATGAGTTGATTTCATTTTAAATACTTGATTTCACTTCATTTGAATAAAAACTTTATTATATTTTTCTTAAAACTAGACAACAACTTTATAAAATAAAATTTGTGAAGTAATAAATCTGGAGAAGGTATTTTTTCCTGAATTTTGGGGGTTTGATGTCTTTTTGCGATTTGAAAAAATGTCGAGAAAAAATCTCCAGCTTTGAGACCAAAACTCCAGCTGAAACATTTCAAATCTCCAGTTGTTATTTTTCAGTTCTGTCACATGTATGAGTACAGCTAATTTTGTATTGTTGCAGGGTAGAAAACACTGTCTAACATGATCTTTTTGTTATTTACATTGTGTGTGTGAAATTCAAATTCATGAATAGATACTTTTTTCACCATGTCCAGCAAATTCCTCATAATCCACTCTGTCTGTCAATGTCCAATGTAATTCCCTAATCCATGTCATATCGAGCTTAAGGTTGCGATTGCAAGACATCACGTGATCGACTCACATGATGTTTAAAAAAATATTGCAGAGGAAATTTGTTTTCGTCTGTAAGATCTTCTCTAGCATTTTCAACACTTACATCGGCCATGTAAACATTGAATCATCGATGCATATACATATTGTGTAAACATTTGTTGTAAAATGTTTTCTGCATTGGATTTTGTCAAAAATTGAAACTCATCACACTTCTTTTGAAAGAAAAAAAAAGTTTCTTTTTGCAAGTTTTCACAAATCTAGCAAAAAATACACGTGTAAGAATGACAGACGAAATAAATATTAATTTTCTCTAGCTATAGAGAGGTAACTTTGTCAAGTGTTTGACACTAAGTTGTCAGTAAGGAATGGACAGAATGTTAAATATTAAATTTCATGTAGATTTTACATAAAATGTGCATTAAAACATATATTCTACAGAGTATTATTGATGTTTCAGATCAACCAAGCTTAAGTGGATTAAATGAGTTAGATTACCCTAGCTTACCAGAAGCTGGAATTTCCATTGAGAACTTGTGTGAGATTAGCAATGTGAAAAGAGTACCCCTACCCCCGGAACTGGTAGAGCAGTTTGAACGTATCCTTTCTTAACAGTGTTTTACCTTTTTAGTAACTGTTACATAACTTTTGATCTGTATTTTTTGAACTCATAAATGATAATAATTCAAAGATATTGCAGATTTTGTTAGAAAATCCTTGACTTTGGCTGTAGGAATGCAATGTAATTGTATGATGGGATTGTTTCCCACCATTGAGAGAGCATGGCTGACCATTGATAGTGATATTTTTGTGTGGAGATATGAAGATGGGTAATTATAGACAGAAAATATAGTGTAGCTGTGTTTCTGTTGTAGCTTCTTTATAGCTTAATGATTTACATATACAAATTATGCATATATTTTTTCTGAAAGGAAAGGTGCCTTTGTACCTGATTTTTTCTGATTATTTTTAGCACAGACTTGGCATACTTTGATGGACTGAATGAAACCATACTCAGTGCTGCCCTAGTGAAACCAAAGCAAGGTAAGGTATTTTCAATATGAACATGCAATCAAGTCATTTAAAAAGTATTTACTCCTATCTTTTTGTAAGTAAATATATTTCTTACTATTTTAAGGGACTGTCATTGATATTTTCATTAGTCTGTGGGTAGTGCAAATTTATTTGAAAATGAACGAAGACAATATCTTTGAGAAAAATACAGACTGCATCATTCTGTGAAGTTGAAATCAACCTTATTCTCTATGTTATACAGGTATTTTCCAGCCCCACATCCAGTATTTACTTTGTCTGGCCACTCCTGTGGACATTGTCCTACTAGGGGTCAGTTTCTCTAAACCCTACCATGGTATGTACATATGGATTTATCTGGAAGGAAATAACTGAACAAGTCTATTTTATTGAATGCATGCACATATATCTGTGTCTGTCAAATCTGTAAATTTCTCTGCTTTAGATGTTACAGCTGACAGTGGCAGTGGTGAAATGCACCTCCTTCCAGAGCCTCTCTTCTCGATCCCTACAGATAATACATATATAGTTAGTATTAAAGGGGCCCCCAACGGGAGAATCTTTATGGCAGGAAAAGATGGCTGTTTGTATGAACTGGCTTATCAGGTTAGAATGCTAACATATGGTGTATGTCAAAATAAATTGTCTGAATGAGAACTAGAGAGTTTTTGTAAAACATGGACCTCTGCTAAGGAAAAAAAATTATGCCACAAAGCCTTGCAACTGTAATTTGAAAAAGCTGATAAGAAATGGTTCCTTTTCAATCGTATCTTTTAAGCTTATATTGTAAGTTGGTTTAATTTTTTAAGCTTATATTGGAGGGATTTGCCATTGACCCACATATAGGTCAGTACAACGTTTTGCAAGAATCGGTTGACAATTTCAAGTCAATCCTCTAATGTTTTCACCTATGATTCAAATATTTTTATGCCCCCGTAATCGAAGATTCGGGGGCATATAGTTTTTGCCCTGTTCGTCCGTCTGTCTGTCTGTTTGTTTGTCCGCAAAAACTTTAACCTTGTCCATAACTTTTGATTGGTTGGAGCTATGGCTTTCGTATTTCACAGATGTATTCCTTGTGACAAGACCTTTCTTTGGGTACCATCACATTCGACCTGTTGACCTTGACCTTGGAGTTTGACCCACTTTTGCAAAAAATTTTGAGACTTTAACCTTGGCCATAACTTTTGAACACTTGGAGCTTGGGCTTTCAAACTTCACAAGTGTATTTCTTGTGAGAAAGCCTTTCTTTGGATATCAACAACTTTGACCCTTTGACCTTGAACTTGGAGTTTGACCTACTGTTGAAAAAAACTTTAACCTTTGCCATAACTTTTGAACAGTTTGAGCTAGGTCTCTCATACTTTGCATGTGTACTCCTTGTGACAAGACCTTTCTTTGCATACCAACAACTTTGACCTTTTGACCTTGACCTTAGGGTTTTACCTACTTCAAATTTGAAAAATTTTAACCTTGGCCATAAATTTTGAACAGTTAGTGCTACGGTTTTCATACTTCACATATGCATTCCTTGTGAGAAGACTTTCCTTAAGATACCAACAATTTTGACCCTTTGACCTTGACCTTGGAGTTTGACCTATTTTTGAAAAACTTTAACCTTGGCCATAACTTTTGAACAGTTGGTGTTAGGGCTTTCATACTTCACATATGCATTCCCTGTGACAAGACCTTCCTTTAGAAATGAACAACTATGACCCTTTGACATTGACCTAGAAGTTTGACCTACTTTTGAAAAACTTTAACCTTGGCCATAACTTTTGAAGAGTTGGTGTTAGGGTTTTCATACTTGACATGTTATCCTTGTGACAAGACCTTCCTTTGGATACCAACAATTTTGGCATTGACCTTGACCTTGGAGTTTGACCTACTTTTAAAAATTTTTAACATTGGCCATAACATTTGAACGTTTGGTTCTAGGGCTTTCACATTTCACGATCCTGTGTATCACTTGTGACAAGAAATTCCCTTGGACACCATTTGACCTTGACCTTGCCATTTTAGTTACATTGAAAAAACTTTAACCTTTGCCATAAATTTTCAACGGTTTGTACTAGGGCTTTCATATTTCACAGGTATATTCCTTGAGACAAGACCTTTCTTTCGGAACCAATTTAACATTTTTGATTTCTTGACCTGGAGTTTGACTTGCATTTAAGAAACTTTAACCTTCGCCATAAGCTGCCATACAGGGGCATCAGTGTTTCACAAACACATCTTGGTTTTTTTAGAAATTACGCCAAAATTTTATAATTATGACATGCTCAATGTCCAAACCACATCTGTTGTTTCTGATTATATCGCTACACTTGATCTATTAAGCAATTATCATGATTAATTTTCATTCGTTTATCATGATTAATTTTCATTCGTATTGTCTACCGTTAACGCTTACATCACACAGTGTTTACTTACTGGCACAAGAAAACAACTTTGTACATGGTACTAATTAATTTAATTAACAAGAGTTTAAAAAGAGTCAAGAATTTTATTCTAGATTATTTTTTATCAAATTTATATTAAATATTTTATCAGAAATATTTTTAAACAGTACATATGAATTTCACAATCACAAATTCGGGTTCGCAATTATATATTACCGATGAACAAAAGATTTATAGTAAGTCACAATTCATTGAAAGAATTAGGATGTTTATAAATAACAAAATAAATAATACACACTTAAGATAAAATAAAGTAATTAAAATATGTAAAAATTTGTACTTTTATGCATAATGTTAGAATACACAAACAAAATATTTCAAGACATCTGCCAATGATAATCATCGGAGTTGTTTAAAAATACTTTATTTCCCCGTCCAGAAAAATACCAATCTTTTTAGGACTCATCTTTAAGTCAGACATAGAGTTTTGGATCAAAATTTAACTCCAAATAAACTGACTTATAGGTAAGTATATACAATTATTGAAAGGGTTCTAACATGAGTTGAAGTTTTTTAATTAAGAAGATTATTTCTTTAAAAATTACTATCCCCCTCCCTGCAGAGTAGGAGTTTTGGTCAGAAAATTACTCATTTTGACCTTGACCATGAAAAAAATGCTGAATGCTCCTTTTATTGTGAGTCATTAAGGTTATGAAAAAGGTCATATGAAATGTAAAAAGGACATGCTTCTAAACAGTTACATGTATGAATGTTGTAGTGTTAACAGTTTAGCTTTCATTGTACAGGCTGATGATGGCTGGTTCAGTAGAAAGTGCAGAAAGATTAATCATTCAACCAGTACCTTGTCCTTCCTTGTTCCATCTTTTCTCAACTTTTCCTTCAGCGAGGATGGTGAGTCTACAACAACTTCTGAATTACATCTTTCTAGTTAAGAATTGATATCATTTTGAAATATTTCTTTTCTTTTACAACAGATCCTTTGTTGCAACTGAGTTTGGATGACTCCAGAAACATCCTCTATGCCTGCACTGAGAAAGGGACAATTCAGGTAAAGGCATTGGCACTTGACATTACATATAAAAAAAAATATAACCCCCTACCTAATAAATCACAAGGTATGCATGGTCAACATCTTGAATTTTTATGCCCCGCTATGAATATGGCCGGGGCATATAGTGTTTGTCATGTCCGTCTTCCGTCCTTCTGCCCTTCCGTCCTTCCGTCTGTCTTTCCGTCACACTTTGCATTTAGCTCTGTTCAAAGCTCAGTTTCAAAGAAACTATCCAAGATATTTTTATCAAACTTCATATGCTGATAGAGAGCTATGCAACTGCATCAACATTTTTTTTGACCTTGACCTTTCCTTTGACCTTGACCTCACTTTTCTTAAAATAGTGTTTAGCTCAGTTTTAAAGATACCATTCAAGATAGTGTAATCAAACTTCATATGCTGATACATACTGATGAGAGCTATTCAACTGCATCAATATTTTTTGACCTTGACCTTTCCTTTGACCTTGACCTCACTTTTCTTAAATTAGTGTTTACCTCAGTTTTAAAGAAACCATTCATAATATTTTTATCAAACTTCATATGCTAATACATACTGGTGTAACCTTTTCAACTGCATCAACAATTTTTGACCTTGACCTTTCCTTTGACCTTGACCTCACTTTTCTTAAATTAGTGTCAAACTTCATATTCTGATACATACTGATGTAAGCTATTCAACTGCATCAATATTTTTTCACCTTGACCTTTCCTTTGACCTTGACCTAACTTTTCTCAATTTGTGTTAAAATGTTACATTACTAATATACCCTCGGCGGGGCATTCATATCCTATGGACATATTTCTAGTTCTAAGACAATCACATCAACTTTTTTTTGTTGTCTGAAACTCGATGAAATCAATATCCTGCAGATATACATCTATTCCATCTGTGGTCAGATGTGTGTAGGCATAGACTCAAAGTTTATTTTTAATTTTTAATGACAAATAATTACTATTCTGAACATACAATGTAGTTTAGATTTTGTTCAATTTTTAGGTCACCTGAGTCACTCAGGTGACCTATTGCTATCCGTTCTCGTCTATATTTAAGGTATATGACTTGGGACAAGATGGAAAGAGCATGGGTAGAGTGGCTTCTATACCACTAAATAATGTGGTTCACAGTGCCTCCCTCATCGCCAGGTAAAATATGACTTGTCAGAGTACACATAGCTCACCTTGTAAATATGATGAATATGTGTTACTGTTTTTTAAAATGGTGTTTTGGTTGTATGGACTTCACAAAATTTCTATGGCAAATAAGAAGCACCTGTATTTATTGCCAGTATTCTTACATTGAATGCTAATACTTGTATTTTAAATCTTGTTACATGTATTCACAGAACTGTTGAGAGATCAAATTTCAAGCCAATTGTCCATATCAGTGCCTTGACAAAATCTGAGTCAACAAATATTCACCTGGTGGCTGTCACAAAAACTGGTACCCATATTCTGAATTTTTGCTTGATTTTATCACAAGCTTCTCAAAGTATGAATATACATCTGAAATTTCCCAGATTATAAATAGAACCTTTGAAGATGCAGGGTTATTTTTAGGTCACCTGAGTCACTCAGGTGACCTATTGCTATCCGTTCTCGTCCGTCGGCGTGCGTCGTGCGGTGTGCGTCGTGTGTTAACATTTGAACATTTTTAGCTTCTTCTCTGAAACCGCTTAACCAATTTCAACCAAATTTGGCATATAGCACCTATGGGTGAAGGGGAACAAAAATTGTGAATTCCATGGTCCCTGCCCCCCTGGGGCCTGAGGGGTGGGGCTAAAACCACCAAAAATAATGCAATCTTTAAAAATCTTCTTCTTTACTCCTGGACATCAAGCAGTCAAACTGTTGGCATCATTGTAATAAGCATTGAGTCCTCTACCAAAATTGTGAAATTCATGGCTCCAGGGTCAGGGGTTCTGGTGCTAGGGTGGGGCTATATAGATCATATAGGGAAAGTGCATTATTTCTTTGAAAATCTTCTTCTCTGCTCCTGGGTATTAAATAAAGTAACTAAGTACATAGTTATGAAGAACAAGAGTGCCTCTTTCAAAATTGTGAAATTCATGGCCCCAGGATCAGGGGTTCTGGTGTTAGGGCGGGGCTCTATTGATTATATAGAGAAAATGCATTAATTCTTTGAAAATCTTCTTCTCTGCTCCTGGGTATTAAATAAATTTACTAAGTATATAGTTATGATGAGCAAGAGTGCCTCTTTCAAAATTGTGAATTTCATGGCCCCTGGGTCAGGGGTTCTGGTGTTAGGGCAGGGCTCTATTGAGTATATAGTGAAAATGTATTAATTCTTTGAAAATCTTCTTCTCTGCTCCTGGGTATTAAATAAAGTAACTTAGTACATATTTATGATGAGCAAGAGTGCCTCTTCCAAAATTGTGAATTTCATGGCCCCAGGATCAGGGGTTCTGGTGTTAGGGCAGGGCTTTATTGATTATATACATTAGTTAAAATGCATTAATTCTTTGAAAATCTTCTTATCTGCTCCTGGGTATTAAATGAACTAATTTAGTACATAGTTATGATGAGCAAGAGTGCCTCTTCCAAAATTGTGAATTTCATGGCCCCAGGGTCAGGGGTTCTGGTGTTAGGGCGGGTCTCTATTGATTATATTGTTAAAATGCATTAATTCTTTGAAAATCTTCTTATCTGCTCCTGGTTATTAAATGAACTAATTTAGTACTTAGTTATGATGAGCAAGAGTGCCTCTTCCAAAATTGTGAATTTCATGGCCCCAGGGTCAGGGGTTCTGGTGTTAGGGCGGGGCTCTATTGATTATATAGTGAAGATGCATTTATTCTTTGAAAATCTTCTTATCTGCTCCTGGATATTAAATGAACTAAGTTAGTACATATTTATGATGAGCAAGAGTGCCTCTTCTGAAATTATGAATTTCATGGCCCCAGGGTCAGGGATTCTGGTGTTAGGGTGGGGCTCTATTGATTATATAGTGAAAAGGCATTAATTCTTTGAAAATCTTCTTCTCTGCTCCTGGGTATTAGATAAACTAACTTAGTATATAGTTATGATGAGCTAGAGTGCCTCTTTCAAAATTTTGAATTTCATGGCCCCAGGATCAGGGGTTCTGGTGTTAGGGCAGGGCTCTATTGATTATATAGTAGAATTGCAATAATTTTCTCTGCTCCTGGGTATTAAGTACATAGTTATGAAGAACAAGAGTGCCTCTTTCAAAATTGTGAATTTCATGGCCCCAGGGTCAGAGGTTCTGGTGTTAGGGCAGGGCTCTATTGAGTATATAGTGAAAATGTATTAATTCTTTGAAAATCTTCTTCTCTGCTCCTGGGTATTAAATAAAGTAACTTAGTACATATTTATGATGAGCAAGAGTGCCTCTTCCAAAATTGTGAATTTCATGGCCCCAGGGTCAGGGGTTCTGGTGTTAGGGCAGGGCTCTATTGATTATATAGTAGAATTGCATTAATTCTTTGAAAATCTTTTTCTCTGCTCCTGGGTATTAAATAAACTAACTAAGAACATAGTTATGGTGAGCATGACTGCCTTTTCAGAAATTGTTTCATGGCCCTTGGGTCAGGGGTTCTGGTGTTAGGGATGGGCTCCATTGATTATATAGTAAAATTGCATTAATTCTTTGAAAATCTTCTCTGCTTCTGGATATTAAATAAACTAAGTACATAGTTATGATGAGCATGGCTGCCTCAGAAATTATGAATTTAATGGCCTCTGGGTAAGGGGTTCTGGTGTTAGGGCGGGGCTTTATTGATTAGATAGGGAATTGGCATGAATTCTTTCAAAATCTTGTGTGCGCCTGGGTATTTTTCAAACAAAGGAAGTGCATGGTTATGATAAGGAAGAATGCCTCATGGCCTTTGGGTCAGGGGTTCTGGTGAGGGGGAAAGAGCTCTATTGATTATATATAGTGAAAATGCATAATTTCTTTCAAAATATTTTTTCTACTACTGGTTATAAAGTAAAGAAACAAGTGTATAGTTATAATGAGAAAGGGTGCTTCTTCCAGAATTGTGAGTTTGTGGCCAATGGGTCAGATGTTCTGGGTAAGGATGGGGCTTTATTTATTTAATTTTATGGTGAAAATGCATTTCTTTGAAAATCTTCTATGCTTCTGGGGATGTTCAAGGCAAACAGAGTAAAAGTTTTAATATGCAAGGGTATTTTTACCAGATTTTTGAACACCTGGACCATTTAGTCAAGTGTTCTAGTCCTGGCCAGGGCTCTATTAACTTGTATTCTGCTGAGCAAAGTTATTCCCCTTTGCCATTCACCTTTGATAATTAATCAATGTAAATAATGTATTTGAAAGCTTAATAGAATAAGAGAATTATGCAAGATAATTTATTGTATAATGAAAATGTACTTTCATAGATTTAATGACTTGGAAAGTCAGATAGGCAGATAGATACTAGACCAATTATTTTGTTGATGCTAATCATACTATTTTTCTTGCTTTTGGGCAACAAAGCTTCATTTTTCAGTTTATGGATCCTCTAAATTGTTGTATTTTACTCAGGTGACCGTTAAGGCCCTTGGGCCTCTTGTTTTCTGTAGGTGTTAGACTGTATTTTACTACCAACCCATTTGGTAATAACAAAGGACGACCCAGCATGCTGACCCTTGTCCATGTTCGACTTCCTCCAGGGTTTTCTGCCTCCACTGTTGTTCACAAACCACAAAATGTTCACATGGCTTATCACAAGAAAGGTAACCCATCAGTATTGTTGTAACACATTCAGTGACAGATATTATTGCAATAAGGGGTTATATCTTTACACATATACATCATTTCAGTAAAATATTAATTTAAAAGTACAGTCAAACCTTGTTATCTCGAACTCAAGGGGACCAAGAAAAAACTTTGAGATAACCGAGGATTTGAGATATCCAGGGTAAAATACTTAAAGAACAAGCGATTGGGACTTCCAAATCACTTGACACACCGGTATCCATCGTGTTCGAGATATCAGTGTTCAAGATACCGAAGTTCAACAGTATTGTGGTATTAGTTAAGTATGTACATATATCTGTAAAATGAGAGTATGAATTTTCCTTTTATACCTACTGGTATATCAATGTTTTAGGAACTTTGTTACTGGTTGCCTCCCAGTCGGAGGACAGTGATTTACTGTGGACAATTAGTAACGACTCATTCCCATTCCAAGGGCAGCTCATGGAGGCTCATGTATGTAAACAAAATAAACTGCCCTTTTTTTGTTTTCTTTTGATAAATGTTCCTATATTCTGTGAAAAGTGCATAGCGCTAAATTCTATTACTGGTAATAAAATGACAGCTGTCACATTGTAAGTCACAGAAATGCTGTAAAAAGTTACAAAAAAAAATCATATTGCACTGCTTCAAAAAATCCATGTATTATTTAAAAAAAAAAAGAATATAAACGTGTGTCTGTGTGAGGGATAACTTTGGTCCATTCACCCATTACAGAGTACTATTCCAATAGATGGTCGTACCTGGGCTATGTGTGAGGTGACCTCAGGAGAGACCAATGTTACTGTTGACAAACCAGATCCTCCATCAGTGGTCACTCAACACTCAGAAACCCCCAGACAGTTTGTACTTCTGAGTGCCCAGGTTTGAACTACTCATTGAAACTATCTTTATTAGTTGAACATGAATAAAACTTGTTAATGAATGTTATGTTAATCAGATGAAATAATTTTTATATGTAAGCATATATTCTTTCTTAATATTCTTTCTGTTAAAGAAGTGTGCACTGAAGGGAAATTACTCTAGATAGTTGTTTTACAACCTATTGAAATAAATTACTCATGTACAAGGAATGTCACAGATTCGAAGAGGTAAATAGGCCATGAAAAGATATATTTTCTTATTTCAGGGGAGTCACATATTCTCAAAGATGAGGCCTGTAGATCAGCTAAGACAATTGTTAATTGATTGTCAGGGACCTGATGCTGAAGAGGTCAAAGCATTCTTTAGATTACATAAGGTAAAAACGGTTGAAAAAAAATTTTAATTCTTGTACATGTACATGTAATTTATTTCATTTGACGAACATTGTATCATTGTATAGATAGCACCAGAGCTCAGATAGACTTTAAACTCGCATTATGTGTCTTTGTAATTATATAAATGACATGTATAAATTTTTCCATATAATTGTAATTTATCTAAACTTATTGCTTGACAATGATTGAAATCATGTTTGTATATAACAAAGAAAGGATTCACGAAGTTGAAAGATTTTGTATCCATTCTTTTGTGTATAAAATATAATAAAATATGTTCAAAACAAGGTTAAAAAAAATCTGTTTGAAATACAAGTACATATTGTATTAGCAGTAACCAACATAAAATTTTTCTTGAAGCTTCAATTCTAAAAAAATATTTCTTCCAGATCGAGCAGGCCTGTTCAACCTGTCTTATCTTAGCTTGTTCAAGAATCGCAGCAGATCAGCAGGCAAGTTCTGTGTAATAGCTCATTTTAATTTTGAGTGATCACTTTTTAAAGGCAAATTTTCAATCAAGAACATTTTGCATCAAATATTTTAGGTTGCTACCTGGGCTACCATGGCCTTCTTTATGTATGGTGGGGAGCCTCAACTTCATTTTACTGGTACTCCGATGGGCACCGATGGCAGGATGATGCCGAGCAACCTGGGAGCTATGGGTATTTACTTAGTATTAAAGGCTATTCCAAGATGAAAAAATAAATTTAAAAAATCTCTAGGGGTGGTTCCCCTTTAATATTCTGGAGTCCTTGGATAAAGGATAGATTTTTTAAAGCAGTGACTCTTTGATAACATGTTCAAATGCAGACCAAGGCTAGGGGTGCGTTTAAAAGCTTAGTGGCGATAAAGCCTCGTAAAGCTACGATCTTGAACAATATGATAACCTAACTGCTACATAGGAAGAGCTAGCATAAATATTTGATGTTAAGTACATGTATTAAATTCAAGATGGCCTTCTTTGTTACCACTTTGCAGCACACAAGATTTTAACAAAAAGGGCAATTGTTTTCTACAGTTCTGTTTTTTTCATAAATTGCACCTGTGCAAGTACCTTGAATACTGTTAACTCTTCATGTGATCAAAAGAACTATAATTCATGTGAGAAGTCAAAATGGCTGCTTACTGCAGAAGCCTATAGCAAATTTTTGTTTGAACTTTTGACCAAGATAGATAGTGGTCAGTAAAAACAGAAGTAATGTAGTGTTTTCCATTGTGAGGAATTACCCTGTAAATTGACAGTATGTTAGAGAATGCTCGTTGGAGGCCATCGATGTGGGAAGTTTAGCATAATTTTTGTTGCAGATCTTTTCAATTCCACTTTTCAACATATAGGTCTACATCAGACGTCCACACCAGCTCCAGGAATGGGTCACCCATATTTCCACCCAGCGATGACTCCAGGACCAAACATCACACAGGAGATAGCATTCTCAGGCAAACACAATGGAATCTGTCTGTACTTGGCCAGAATCCTCAGGTCTGTCAATAAAAATCAAAAAAATATTCTGAAAGGAATGAATAGAATGCAGAGATATATTTTATTGCCTGTGATAGTGGCTGCTGTGTTGTTTGACAGTGAATTTAAAGATTTATTATGAAGATGTTATGGAGATTAAATTTTGAATACACATTGTAGGTCAATATGGGAAAATAATGTCACCATGGATTATCCCTGCCAATCATCACAGGGAGTCACAAATTATGTAAGTTCATTACATGTGTGTTATGCTTATATAAGAAACACTGGTTGTCAAAAAAGGCACCGTCAAGTACATATTACAGTGTGGATTCTAGATATTAACTCTGATATTGACAAAAGATACTTTTAATTTTTAAGCTGACAAGCAGAATAAATGGTGATGATTTGAACCAAATTTTGGAGAATGTCAGGGGGCTTTCAGACTTTGTGGAGTTCAACTCCAGGTTTGATACTGGACCCTCAGAGGGGTAAGTCAGATAACTGCCTGTGTTTTCTTATGCCCTGTTTACACGAATGTGCATTAGATATTTAATTCGCAGTAAATTAATTCAAAGTAAAATAATGTGAATTAAACTAATGCAAATTAAATTGCTTTCACACATCAGTCAGTGCGAAGTAAACTAATGCAATTTAAAATTTTATTTCTATAGAGTAAGCCTATTATGATGTCATTTGCAAATCACTTCACCTTATGCAGAGCAGATTATATTTGACATATATATTATAGTGTCTGGACAGATGTTTAGTTATAAACTTAATTTTTCATTGTTTTTCACTCAAAAATAGCATAAGTAATGCAATCTGACCACTGACATGTGGCAGGTGGCTAAATTTTGCTATTACGCATGCGTCAGAATTTAATTATGCCCCTCTTCGAACAAGGGAGGGCATATTGCTTTTCTGCTGTCTGTATGTTGGTATGTCTGTCTGTCGGTCCACCAACAGTTTCTGTTCATTTTCTTCGCAGAGGTTGCACATACTGAAATGAAATTTGGTATACCTATTTATCATAAAAATATCTAAGTCAAGTTCTGTTTTGGATACGATCAAGCAATTTTTGACAGAGTTATGCCCCTTGGACTTTGAAAAATTCCAATTATTCTCGTTCATTTCTTCCGCAGAAGTTGCACATTTGCACATACTGAAATGAAATTTCATATACAGGTTTATCATAAAAATATCTTGTTCAAGTTCTGTTTTGGTTATGATCGAGCAATTTTTGACAGAGTTATGCCCCTTGGACTTAGAAAAATTCCAGTTATTGGGGGGGGGGGGGGATAAGTGTTTCACATACATCTCTTTTGGAATTAGCTTCGCTTAGCGTTCACTTGGAGCTAATGCGAAGTAATTTGATGCACAGTAAATTAATTGGAATTAAACTAATTGGCATTAAATTCTCTGTGTGAACAGGGTTCAAATTTAATTTACAGTAACTTTCGTTTAATCGAATTAAACTCTTCGTGTGAACAGGACATTAATGGAAGATAAACTATATGATTCTGTTGTTGGGTTCAGTAATGAGAAGTAATGTAATTTGATGTCTTATTGCAGCATGTAAGAAAATTTACATGTACCTGTAAGTGCTTAAGTATTAGGGAGGTTTCCAAGTGACCCACACTCTTAAATAGTGAACGCTTTTAAAATAAAAACTCATTTACGAATTTCAATATTCATGAAAAGCTTTTTTCATTGGCCATTCTCAAATTCTCAAATAAAAGATGTCCTAAATAATAATTGTTTACAGTATTGTAATGAAAATTCCTACCTTTTACAGGATGATGTCACAGGTGCCATTTTCTCCACACATGATGGGACACATTGATGAGCAAGGACGCAAAAAGTTACAAGGTTAGTCTCAGCGTGGTATCCACTTGCATAAATACATATGTATAACTTTTTAAGTACATGTGTATAAATACATATACAGGTGATTCTCGATCTCTCGAAGTTCAAGGGACCGTAAGAAAAGTTCGAGAGATCGGGGGGTTCGAGAGATAGAAAGTGAATAAAATCCGGAATTTTCAGTTCCGATCATCATTGTTCTACTATTATACATACCGGAAGTATATATTGATAATGTCATTACACTTTTTCATTCGTATTTTACAGGTAATTTATTTGATTTCAACAACAATGATCGTGTTTTGAATAAATAAAATGATTAATTTAAGTTTCAATATTTATTTGTTCTCATTTCATGTTTACATGAAACCTGAATAGCAGTTGTCGATTTTGCTAACCCCCGGGTGCTGGCTTGATCGGTCCTTCACAAGATTGCTTGTAATCAGTATACAATTCTTGAGATAGGATTTGTGCAATGTTTGCCAAACTGGGATTCTAATAATATTAGAGTTCATAATCTATGGAAAATTACTGACACATCTCTAAATTATTTTCTCAAAATTATCGTCTCGTCCAGTCAAAATAAGTTGTGAAGCAATTTGTTTATAATTTACCAATTAACCAATTAATTATATCAACACTCGGACAACTCACAGGTGTAGTATCATCTATGTAAACACCCAATTAACATGTCCATCCCAGCCCCAGGCGTTCACTGTTATCCAGATAAGTCCAAGCTGAATTAATTTTACACTTGATTGACGTGTATACATACGCAATCAAAACTTCGAGAGATAGAGAGTAAAAAACAATGAAATATGTGTAACGGGACCCAGGTCTTGGTTCAAGAGATAGAGAACTTCGAGAGATCAGGAGTTCAAGAGATCAGGAGTAAATTTGCTTAGTTACATAGAGGTAAAAAACGGGACCGGAGGTTCACTTCGAGAGATCAAGAACTTCGAAAGATCGGAGTTCGAGCCATCGAGAGTCACCTGTATATAACTTTTCAGGTATACATGTATTCTGTGCTGTATTTGTGTAGTTTGATTTCCTTCAATGTGTAAATGTTCTGACATTGTAGCTGAGGCTCAAAAGATGGAGAAGGTGTCTCTACAACATATACATGATCTGATCCGCCGTGTGGAGGAAGTTCTAGGATTGTGGAGAATCCTGGTGGATCATCAGCTCCACATTATTGTATCCACTCTGTCTAAGGTAACAAGAATAAAATCTGACTAGAAGTTGGAAATTCTCAACATAAGATCAATTTTTTTAAATATTTTAAAAGTGTTTTGTTCATTTCATAATGTTTTATTAAGGATCAACAAAATTTGCTGAGGAATATGAGTTTCAAACAATTATCCACCCATGCAACAGGAAAAGAGGTATAGTTATTCACTCAAATCACGCCTTCATGTAAATACATATATAACTACTGCAAAAAAAAAAATGTGTTGATATATCAGTATTATGAGGTACATTATATGGTTTGATTTCAAACTTGGTATAATGCATAGAAAAAGTTTCCAGTCCTGTTAAGGACGACGGACCTAATTCGAAATTTCGAGCCACTGCGCAGAAAACCGCACATATACCTTGAATCAAATTTTATTAATTATGTATTGCAAAAGATAAGAAATATACATTTTTAATTCTTTTAAAGATTTTCAAACATTTCCTTTCAATTCAAAAATATTGTAAATATTTCGATTTATATTCATTTGTTAAATTTATTTAAGGAATGTTTTTAAGTTTTGTGTGAGTTATTGGTGTGTAAATCACACAGACTTGTCACGTAGGCATACTTCATGAAGCGTGCTAGCGCTTCATGAAAAATATGCCTACGTGCAAATCTGTGTGATTTACACACCAATAATTCACACTAAACTTAAAAAATTCCTTATATTTACATTTTACATGCTTAAGTGCACCAAAAATATACTCAGTGTTTGAATTTCTCCCTGCCCTATATCGTCATATTTTTATTAACGTCTGTATAGCCTCATTGTGACGTCACTTTAGCGCGAGTTTCACCGTGTATATTTCTACGCGTGAGTGTACACAAAAATGGCTTTCAAATTAATTTCACAGTTGGCTTAGTAAAAAAACACAGCAAATGTAAATATAAATAAATGATTTATTTGGCCAAGGTATTTTCATTGAAAATTTCCCCCAAAATGTGCCCTACACCTGCATTTGACATGCCCCTCTGAAAAATCTAATCCGATGACCCATTAATTTTTTCGCATAAGAATGTATTCACTATTACAAAAGAATTGACCTATAGGAGAGAACAATTTCCCGGAAAAAGTGATATTTAAAAATCAATCTTTATTTGTTGTTTTCTACCGTATGTATGTCTAAATTTTTCAAATTTGAGTTTTACAACTAAAATTTATCATTTACAACTTCACAATAAACCTCCAAAGTTGGCCGAAACACCATTTTGTCCATTAAAGCGTTGATTTTTGCATAAATTTTGGCCTAGAAGTCCTTCAGGGCAGGCCTGCCCCTAAATAAAATTGTGATATTTTGGGATGGAAGGAATAATTTAAGATAGGATTTTTTTAGGGGCACCCCTGCCCTAGGGTCGAAATTCACAAAAAACCTACAAAAAATAAGTAAACTTGATTTTGACAATCTGCTTCAAATTTATACCGTTCAATCTTGTAGTCAGAATAGCTCATTTGATATATGCGCTGCGCTGACTTTTATATCGTGGGTACTTTATTTTTAAAGTCGGGGGTTCGAATCCACCTGTTGCCACACTTTTATAGTTTTAAATTTTTGCCTTTTCAAAGACTATTTTAATTTTTTTTATAGGCTTGTGTATGTTTCTTCAATTATCTATCCTTTATGCATTCCCATTTTTGATATAAGAAACATTAGAGAGAGATCAAATCGTAGCAATCCAATGTACAGTTGTCAGTCAGGCGGAACAAGTCTCAGTATAAGCACACTTTCTCCGAGGACAAGAATAACTTACTCTGTGTTACTCTCGGCAGCATTGAGCTGCAATGAATTTCAATTTTATATATTCCTTAGAATTTAATCACATTGCTTTTATTCTGTCTGTGCTACTAGTCCTTGTCTGGGTTACATGTAGTACATGAATGTTACGTATTGCTTGAATTATATGAGCTTAATATATTTAGAATAACATACATGTACTTTTGTTTTCAGTCAATGTTCTAAGATCTTAAGTTTTGAAACATTAGGGCTACATATATCAGTAACTGTACTCCCTTGGATTTCATTTAGGCCCATATGATTGCACACATTAATTGCATGTTTTTATTATATCCAACTGAAATGTGTTGTAAAATAAATAGCCTAGACATAAAAAACAGAGTTCCAGAGACAGTAGACATTACCATTATGTACAATGAGAAGTAAAGAAAAATATCAATTATTACATTTGGAGATAACAAACTCAGAATATCAATGAAAGTGTTCCTCCTACCTCTACTCACTGAAATAAAGATTTATGAAAAACAAATTGTTACATGTATTCAGCCTAGTGTCATTAATCGGAACGGAAATCGACAAGCTTTTTGTAGAGAAAAAAACCAAGCGCTGCCCTATAGGTCAGATCCCTATTTATATAGAAGTGATCCTTTGCTGGTAATTTGTCTAGTTAACATTGTGCTTTAATATGAATAAAAATTCTTTTGCAGAATTTTTTTCAATGATCACTCTTATACCTTACACTGGCAATTTCCCATTACTTCCGATAGTGATTACCGATTTCCATCTCCAACTTTTGAGACGCTCCCCATTAAAAATTTACATCGATGACCATATGATTTTTTTATTGATTTTAACTCACCAAAAGTCACTATTGCAGAAATGAATTAGGTCCGTCGTCGTTAAGTTTGAAAATGGAAAGTTCAAGTAGAATATTAATTGTACATTTTAGATACTTATATGTAATGTATTTTGTATTCCTTTTTCATATTGTCATACAAATAATATTACAATATCTAAAAGAAAAATTAGCAACTGGAAATGTGTTTGACTTAAAATTGTTTTGTATTCTTTCATTTGGATAATTCAGATGTGTGGAGCTTTAATAACCTGCCTTATTAATCGTTACCTTGATGACAATGCTACGATTGATGCTATCAGTAGCAGGCTTCGTGAAGTGTGTCCATCTCTCTATAGCTCGGATGATGCCACCTGTTCAAAGGCAAGTTACCTTTTTCAGTATCTTATCATTGTAAAAATTATTAAATAGTTGACTATATGTTCACCTTTCTTTTTTAGGCTAATGAGCTCTTACAAGCTGCCAAAATCAATAAAAATCAAAACGAAAAGATGACACAGCTGAATGAGGCATTGAAAGTATGTATAATTAGCCATGGAGATAGATCAGTTAAATTAACACACTGTAAGTCAGTTGTCAGTCCCCATGATCCAGTTTGTGTTTTTGTATATAATAAACTTTGTAACTATAACATTGTTGAGTTTTATATAAACGTATAATTTTATGTGTAAATGCTTTCTAAATTGCAGAGTATTTTGGCATTTATAATTTATGGACTGAAAAGTATTTATGCTTCTTAGAAGTCTATTCTTAACAGTTTGAGGGTTACATGTGGCATACTTTTATAGCTATACAAAGAGGTGTCCCAACCCCTTCAGCTTCCTGTGGTCTGTACCCAGTTTGCTTTGGTCCACTACTACACAGGTATTGTTGACCTCTGTCTGACTCTAGCAAAGAAAAGGGACCCTCAGAATCTCGCCCTCCATTTCTACAGGAGTGGGGAGCCTCAAGAGGATATCCAGGGAATGACAGCTTATATGACAAGGTAGAGGGATTAATATTCAGAAAAGTCTAACACTGTGGATATATCAACTGTTTTAAAGAATTCTGAATAACATAGTACATGTTTCTTATTTACAATAATCATCTGTTGTGTCACAGTGACCAATGTTTCCATGTAGTCATATGTAAAGAGATATGATGTCTTTTGAAGGATGGAATGCTACAATTGTATCACAGACACTCTGGCCTATCTCCTTTCTGCCAGTGTCTCCCACCCTCACGCTCCCAGTGTTCCAAAGTCCCCAGGCCCACCCCCTCAACCAGATCCCAACAGGATGACCACACATGATGCAGAAAAACATGTAAGAACAAAGAATACAAGGTATTGTGTTCATGCATGTAATATATTTGAAAAGGAAATCACTCCATCCAGAGTTGTAAAAAATGTGTGTTCAATTTTTAATTGCAGAAAGAAGAAGTTTTCCGCATGTCACTCAAATCTGACGACGAGTTGTTTCATGTGGCTCTGTATGATTGGTTTTTCAATGCCAACCTCACAGAAAAATTATTAGAGGTAAGAGAGCAATGTTAAATTTTAGTACACAAAAATATTATCAAATATGTGTTCTCTAAAACAAAATCTGCACTTTAATCAATATTTTTTTAGGTGCAAACACCATTCATAGAGCCATATTTAAAAAGGAAAGCCACCTGCTCATCAGAAGCAATAGGAGCTCTTGATATGTTATGGAAGTATTATGAGAAATGCAGGAACTTTTCTGCTGCAGCCAGAATTTTATCAAGGCTGGCAGAGAGACTAGGGTAAGATGATTGTGTCTGACAAAATTACTCATTTTGGATAAAGTGAAAAAACATATACATGTATGTATTGAAAATGAATTTGCTTTTTATGTTTTGTGCATGATAGAGTATTCCAGCTAGGATTCTAGAAGGGGAGGGTGTGAGTGCCAAAAATGGCTGTTTTAGCATGTGAACAGATTGGTAGCTAATTGGACCTTGATATTATTGTAAACTTTGTATCAATTACACTGTTAGTACTTTCATTTTTACATCACCCAGTGGTGATTCATAGACTTGCAAATATTCACATAATTGTATTGACCAGGGAAAGTGCTGCTATGACTGTATGAACTTGACTATTAGAAAAAAATATTTGAGGCCCTGTTCATGTGACTCATCAATTATATTTAAGTTTATTTGATCACTTGTTCAGGTTTCAGCTGGATTTGCCTTTATATTGTGTTGTATAAAGAAAATTTTTTTACATGTAATTTTAACCTTTGTAGGACTGATGTGAACCTACAACAGAGGATAGAGTACTTGTCCCGAGCCATCATGTGTGCCAAGAGTTCCTCCACCAGGACCAGCTCTGCAGTGGAGGGAGAGTTCCTGCATGAACTAGAAGAGAAAATGGAGGTCTGTAGCAAATAGAACTGACAAATGTATTGTAGAACCAAAAATGGATGAATTTTGATGTCGGTGATAATTATGATTGTATATCTACTTCAGATATATTGAAATCCAAGGGACCAACACATTTTTTCCAATATAACCAAAATAAGCGAAATTGGTCTATGAAGGCATTTTAAAATTCTGATCCTGATCCAAAACACTTTGAAATACCCAAACTAATATTACACGGTTAAAGTTACAACATTTGAATAGTGAAATGAAATTGTTTTTTTCATGCAAAGATTTATTCAAAAAAAGTCCGACATTTTTCAACTTTGGTACAATTTCCTGATCTTATTCTTTATCAGCTGGGGAAAAATCGCCAGACTTGTGTGGACTTGAGGCTTCAAAATTATACGACTTGCTGTTTGTACATGTATATCATTAGTGATGTGTGATCCGATAAATCCCAAAATCTTTTGCTAATTTGGATTTAGATTTCATGTTTTAATTCTAGGCTCACATTAATTCATTTTAATTTTTTAAAGACAGTGTTTTTCTTTCTTGTGATTAACCCGTTTACACAAGCATGCATTAAACAGCTGTTCAAAAGCATCATCAGTATGTGATCTGAGAGAACCAGATAACCCTCAGTAAACATGCAATGAAAACATAATAGGTGAAAATATATCAAATGACACTTTAGCATCTACCTGTGTAGCTACGATGTCACCAACCATGACGACTTGTCAGGAGGACTTACATGTATCAGTTATAAAAACAACTCATTATCAGCTTTGGAGGCCGATAATTTACTTCGAAATAAGCGATAATTCAATGCGAGCGATTTCAGTTTAAGCAATATTTTATTATCAGATACAATCTTTGTGGATAAAAATCTTAAGAACGACTAGCTTTCACACTGTTTTTCCAAATGAAAAAGAATTCATTCAAATATGACAAAAAATTTCATCAGAATTGAAGAAAAGACTGGATTTTAATTTCAGGTGGCTCGCCTACAACTCCAGGTTCAGAGGGCTCTAAGTAAACTCCCCAGTAATATTCTAGATGTCCAGTATGCACTCACTAGTCTAGATTCAGAACTCATGGACCTAACCAGGGTTTGTTTTCACATTTTTTCTCCAAGTATTTCCAAGTATTTACCAAATAACAAGGACGGTGAATATTCTGCATATGTTCTCTCTTAATCTAAGCTTAACTTCAAAAGTTGTACATTATTATATTTTGACAGTTGTATGAGGACTTTGCAGACAGATTCGACCTCTCAGAATGCAAACTTGCTATTGTCCATTGTGCAGGATTGTATGATGGGGCTCTCATTGAGAACCTCTGGCAGAACATTATAGATAAAGGTAAGCAATGTTTCTTTTATTTTGCAGTGATGAACATTATTTTCTCAGAGTTTGGAATTTTATAGTGTTCTGAATTTATTTTAAAATATTTCTGAATCACAAAGGACTTTAATTTTGCAGAAATTGAAGCAACGACAAATATGAACCCCAGCCTAAGAACAACAAATCTTCAGAACAAATTATTACCGATTGGCAGACTGTACATAAAGTCAGACAGATACTTTCCCATAGGTAAATCATCTCTATTACGGCATAAAACAGGATCTTAGGTAAAGCAGGTTATTCCCCTTAAACAGATTATTCCCCCCTTTGGTAATTGCCCTTAGGGGTAAAAAAAATATTTGTTAAGAGACTCAGCGTATAATTCCTAATAGCTGAATTGTGTTCATTGTGAGTAAAGTATAATTTTTAGCGATCATTGATTTCATTGTGGCCATAACTGCATTATCACCAAATTCCTAGGGTAGAAAGGTCACAAATATATAAGAATACATCAAACATTTTTCCAGCTTTCCTTGTAAAGCACTTGGAGCAGAGGAGTTGTGATCTTGATTTAAACACTAGATGGGTTTTTCTCCTAATGTTGGACATTGGTGTGCCTCCTTCCAAGCTGCTGGAAATTTATGACAGACTCTTCAAATCTAGGGTGAGTGTCTAAACTACTCTTAATTCACCTATAGCAAACACACTAGTGAATGCCTGCTTAAAACAAAGTTAAATTTTGTCAATAGAAGTGCACAATTATGTGAAATTTCAACATGTCTGACATACTACAGATGTGGGAAACTGGTTCCAATTTCTTGGACAATTGATACAACTGTGTTTTATTGTGACATGGGACTTGTAAAAATTTAGGATCCAAATTTGATAGGAATATCATTGTGAAACAAATTGTTTAACATAAAACAATTATTTTTCAGGATCCATATTGGCAGCAGGTTCAGAAGCCATTACGACTACTGGAGGTTCTGCATGATTTATTATCACACATTTGTGAAAATCGAGCCATCATTCCAGCTTATGAAAGGTAATTAAAATCATACTTTGAAAAAAGTGAAGTATTTTACATTAAATCTGTGTTGTATTGGAAGAAAGTTGAAATTATTTTCTTATACTACTTAACATTTTATTTAAGATCATGAAAATAATTGCTAGGGATATAACCTGGTTTAGAAATTTGTTCCATTGCAAAACTGAACATTCTGAATTTGCAGAGCAATATATGTACATTGTATGTTGATTTACATATACTCAGTGCATTATAATCTGTGCCATTTTAGCTCATCTCAGTGAAGTTGGGGGAGCTTATGTAATACCCTCTGCGTCCCAGGTTGAAGTTTTGGGAGCAGATTTCTTTTCACTTCTATGCCCTATATTAATCAGAGGTGCATGGGGGATGCTTCTATTGTGTTTCATTGTATTAGTTAAGGTTTCAGATGCTGCAATTTCAGCTAAAGAATGACCAGGTTAATGTTTTTGGAGCAGGTTAAAGTTTTTGGAGCAGGTCTCATTCCCAAGTAACTATAAGCCCAATATCAGACCTGTTTACTCGTACTATTTCGCCGTATTTTGTACGGATTTTGAGTCCAAAATACGTCTCAGGTTTTGCCATTATGAAAATACGGAAATCTGTCGTTCGGATTTCAGCGTTAGTTTTCGTTATGATCTGTCTCAGTTTGACAATTTTTAATTGCTAACAAAGAGAATGATTTCAAACACCTCAGTGATGTCGGGTTGCCAAAACCCGATGGTTTAAAAAATGACAGAAACCCCTCGAAAGAAAGCAAGGTGTAATGTTATTAAACCATGTTTTGGTAATCAGAAATGTAGTTGTGTTCTAGTAATGTATGTAAAATGGATGGAAAGTGAATCTTACGGGCAAATGCCAAATCTCACTGACAAATCTAATAAAAAATACTGAGAGACAACAATATGGGTAAACAGGTCTGCAATATTGACCAAATTTGCATGGATGATACACCTAAGGATGCACACTACCAGGCTTGCTTTGGATGCTGGATCTGACCTACATTTTCCGGATGAGTGACCAGGTTAAAGTTTTTGGAGCAGATCTCATTTCCAAGTAACTCTAAATCCTATGTTGACCAAACTTGCTTGGATGATACATCTAAGGATGCACACTACTCCACTTGATTCAGATACTGGATCTGACCTACATTTTCTGGATGAGTGACCAGGTTAAAGTTCTTGGAGCAGATCTCATTTCCAAGTAAATGCAAGTCCTATGTTGACCAAACATGCTTGGATGATACATCTAAGGATGCACAAGTTTTTAGATAAGTCCATTCCCAAGTAATTGCAAGCCCTATCAGACCAAAATTGTATAAATGTTGCCTCTAGGGATGCACACTACTAGATTATTACTTTAGTGTGGGACTTTGCCTTACTTAAAGACAACATTTGTTGAGATGAGCTCTGTAATCACTGATTACCTATGTTTTCTTCAAATAATCAGCATACATACATAACAACACATGTATTTTGTTCCTCTGTGTAGGCGATCATTTACGACCATGTGTTTGGATTTTGTTTCCAACTACCTGGTGGAACTTCAGACCATGAGGAGCACCCCACAACAAGCCGCTGTTGTCAGCCACTTCAAACGTCTTCAGGCCCAGCTAGAGAGATTCTAACATCAAATATCTACATAGAAACTTCTTTTTTTATTATACAGGTATCAAACATTATTATTTAAATTGACAATTTAAAGATTGGATAAAGCAGAAATGTACTTGTAAATGACCAAATGAAATTGAATTGTCAATTTGACCATTAATTGTCGTACACGAGAGTGTGAGAGAAACAAATGTAATGGTAAGGATTGTTGGTATATGTATGTATGGGTTTCATGTTATTTAAGGAGTTGGAATGTGTGTGTTGTTGTAACACATGTTGTTTAACGTCATCATCATAAAGATGAAAGAATGTTACTCTTTGAGATATTAAAAACAAATTATTGTAAGAATTGTTTAAAGAAAATAGAACTGTCAAACTGTCATTGTGAAAAGATGTGAAAAAAATAAAGATTGAAATACATGTATTTAATAACTCTGGTCTTTCTTTTTATATAGACATTTAGGGTGGACAATAATCCTAAAGACTTCTTAGAAATCTGTTAACAACCCCCCCCCCCCCCCCCCATTTCTTACTTGCATCCCAAATTGACTGATATAATACTCTAGACCAAGAAAAAAAATGGATTTTTTAGTATCCAATGTGTTTCAAGCAGGGCACTGTTAACTCGATATTCAATCAACATTAAGAGTGTTGATGGAGCTTCATAGTTCACTCTCATAAAATTGCATACTTATCAGAAAAAAAGTAGAATAAAAATCTGAGGCTAAAGTAGTATTTTTAATCCAAAAGGACCAATGAAATGAGTATGGGTGCTTAATTTTGAACATTATGGCTATCCATTTTCTCACATTTCCTTATCATTGATCAATGGGACAAAAATCAAGTTCCATTATTTTTATTAAAAAACAGCTATCAAAAAGATAAACTACAAAATCACAAAACCCATATCTTGCCCTGATTTTTTAAATCGTTATTTACATCCCAAAGAAATATATACGTGTTAGGAATCCTGGAAAATTAATGTGATTATGCCTCATTAGTATTTTTTTTCTCTCCTTGTTATAAGTTCAAATACTTCTACAACTTCTTTAACTAGTCAATTGAAAAAAGAGTCAATATTTATCAACACGATATTCTAGACCAGACTTCCAGATATATAGGTTGTCTTTAGTAATTGCTGTAAAATGTGTCTGGACGTTCCACTTTTTCAAATTATGTAACATTAGTTCTAAGACCGCGATAAAGAGGTGTAAATAACTGTTTACTTAACATAATCTGTTGAACTTTAGCTATGCTTTATTGATTTTTAATCTATACGTGTATTTTACGATATTATGTTTCTGTGAAAAGCGAAGATCACTCGTTAAGGCGAAAATAAAACTTCATTTGATGACTCACTTACGACTATGTACTGTTGTAGACATGGATAAATACGAATCAAAATGTTATAAGATATATACACTATTAACAATTTTTCCACTGCTGTAAGTCGTTTTAGTTCCATGGTTTTAAAATTTCACGATTTCTCAAAAAGTACCAATCGCTATGGTTTTAATTTCACGCTGCAAGAAATTAATTTAATTTTTTATAAGCATTTAAACGTTTCTAAAAACTAATAATAGCATTCACGATGGGTTTAATTTCGCGGAAAAATGATAAATGGCGAACATAATGAAATTAAAACCATCGTGATTATTTGTCAATCTACAGTATATATTTAAGGGATGTTTTTAAGTTTTGTGTGAGTTATTGGTGTGTAAATCACACCGACTTGTCACGTAGGCATATTTCATGAAGCTGCTCAAGAACAACAAAGCCATGATAAGTCATATTATTATAGAAACATTTTCAGGTAGTGTAGATTCAAATTTGTTCAAAAATAGGGTGGTTAGGGTGGGCCACAATGAGAAATCAGACTGAGTTTTACTTAGGAATATATAGGGGAAAAATCTTTTAAATTCTTCTGTTTAAGAACAGCAAAGCCATGATTAGTAATATTGATATCGAAGCATCCTGAGTTAGTGTAAATTAAAGTTGCCACCCCCACCATTAATTACTGAACTAATTTTGCTTTTTCCTAGCCAATGTGCTCAGGTGAGCGATGTGGGCCTCTTGTTTCCTCTATTGTGACAGCACCCTATCCCAGGGGCCATGATTTATTTATGTTAGATTCTACACTACCCCAGGAAGCTTTAGACAAATTTCATCTCTTCTGGACCTCGGGAGCTTGAGAAAAAAGATTTTTTTCTATATATATGTACATGTATTTCAATTTAAAACTTTGTTGCCCTATTGTGGCCCCACCCAATCCCCTTGGGCAACGATTTTAACAATTTAAAATCTACACTTCCTCGGGAAGCTTTCACACAAGTTTCATCTCTTCTAGCCCAGTGGTTATAGAGAGGAAGATTTTGAAAGAATTTTTCCTATATATTTCAATGGTAAACTTTGATGCCCTATTGTGGCCCCACTCAACTCCTGGGGTCCATGCTTTGAACAACCTAGAATGTATACTACCTCAGGAAGCTATTACACAAGTTTCATCCCTTCTGGCCCAGTGAATCTAGAGAAGATTTTGAAAGTATTTTTTCTAAATATTTCAATGTAAAACTTTGATCCCTATTTTGGTCACACTCAACCCAGGGGGCCATGATTTGAACAATTTACACTACCTCAGGAAGCTTTCACACAAGTTCCATCTCTTCTGGCCTAGCGGTTCTTCAGAATATTTTTAATGAACATACCTATTTTTGCCTTTTCTTGATTATCTCCCCTTGGAATATGATTTGGCCCTTCGTTTGATTAGTTTAGAATCCCCTTTATCCAACTACGGTTAAAATTGGCTCAGTGGTTTTTGAGAAGAAGTCGAAAATGTGAAAAGTTTACAGACGGACGGACGCTGGACTACAGCAGGTGATCAGAAAAGCTCACTTGAGCTTTCAGCTCAGGCGAGCTATACAGTGGAGCAAAGAAGGATGTTGAGTGCATGAAACTTCGGTCTAATCAAGCTTGGCATTATGCTGGGAGAGTGAATGTGCTTGTTAACCACCTAATACATCAAACCGCAAACCCCACGAGCAAAGGGGTGCATTCTAATGTTACCATTGAATAGTTGATTTGTAGAAATACAGCCGTAAATTGGGACTGGCTACCTCGATGTTAGCCCCACCCTATCCCCCAGGAAAATCAATACAACAGTAACTGTTCTTTTTCACCAGAACCAACAAAATAAAATGAAATCAAATTTTTAAAAAAAATTTTAAAAAAGCAAAAAGAAAAGGAAGATCACAAGGTCATAAATATTTAAAAATAAGAACAGGATATTATAACATTGTAAAAAAAAAAAAAAAAAAAAAAAAAAATCGTTAAATTTCTTTCCATAAACATTTTTTCCAATATCATTTTGTAAATTATAAATTTACCAGGTGGAGATAAATGCAAAATTTTCAACATGATAACTTGTAAATTTTGCATTTATCTCCACCTAGAACATTCAAAATTTACAACATGATACCCATCTGCTTACAAATACGGTTTATGTATAATGCTCATCGAAAAAACCTTCAACGGACGAAGATTTATTCAAAGAAATTACAATTGACCCGTTGAAAAAAATGTCCCAAAGTGTTAAAATCCCATAAAGTGCTGACAGGACAGACAACATATCCAACAAATGTCTTTCATGACACTTTATCTTGCAATATCCTTCCGCCCCTATGAAAAGACTTAAATGTCGCTGAAATATTTCAACCAGAGAGATTTCGTATACATATACACCGTATATATAATAATATGACCTTTTAAAAAAAATAATTGATGTTAAAATGCCTCCTACATTTTATCTGGCAATAAAATATTTGATTGTCATGCACATATAAAGAGAAAAGTTCTTTTATTTACTTCAAAATTCACAAGAATTGCGGAAATATAAAATCTTAATGTTCGAGAACAATAAATGGAATATCAGACAAGTATTTCATAACTTCTTTACTTTGAACAAAAACGGTAAGTAATTATGATTACAAATTAATAATTTTATTTTAATCAATTATATATAGAAAAACTTGAGTAATTTAATTGTAAGTTTAACCAGAAAAACCTTAGAGTAAATATTGTAATTTAATCAATTACCTTTCAATGTAATTGACCCCATTACACTGTCCAATATTTTGGACAATAAAACTATGTACATACAGCAGACTGAGTCGGAAATTGTAATCAACAAACACGAGAGATCAAAGAAAAGGAAATAAATTGATGAAGAACCCTGGAGTAGCCCGTGGTCGGAGTATAATTAACACCAAGACATTTGATTACGTTTATCTCCCAGGCTCCGTGTCTTGTAGTCCTCTTCCATTGATCTTTGGTTAATATGTCGTCTTGTTTTCAGCCATGTTGATTTTACCTTAAAAAGATATTTTTCCATGTGTATGTTTTCGGAGATCTACTGACATTCTTATTAGTGTTCATTAAATAATCAATCTTCCCTTGCGTTTTTCTTTAATGATTTGCCTTAAAATCAAATAAGCTATTGAAAGTTAGAGACATTAGACAAACCTTTTTTTGAAAGAATCTGTATCAGACTTGAATAAACCATGCCTAATTTTTCAATTTTCCCTCTAGTATGTCTATAATATTGGTTAAACATGGGCAACTTAAGGAAATCTTCCATCAATCTTTTAATGGTAAATTCGTTTTAGGTATTGTATGTAAGTACTGAGAATAACTGAGTGATCAAACCATACTAGAATTTCTGCCAATAATATTGAAAAGAGGATAAAAAACTATAACGAGAGGTTCATCTTGTAGCCCAATAAATACAAAAACCCGCTTTGGCAAATCGATTAAAAAATAGAAATCCATTCGCGATGGAGAGCTTTGAGAGTTGGAGCTTTTCAAGAAAAAAACCCATGTACTGGTCACGAATATTGTGGATAAATTTGATTACTGAGTATAAGAACGCTATCATTGATGCACCATTTAAAAATATCATCTAGTCGTTCATTTCAAATTATATAAAATATAGCTTTTAATGTTATCTCGGGAACTAATTAAATCACCGAGTCCGTGCTCTATATATTTCAATTAGACACTAATGGCACTTATCAGTATATTAGAGTTGATTTGCCTTTTGGTACACTGGGCTTCTGAGTTTGTTGTCTCAGCAAATGGATATGACATTTGCACCTTCTATTTGATCAATTTGTTGTCTCGAATTGTAACGAGTCCGTGTTATGCTGTAATTGTACACTGTCTACATTATTCCCAATTTTACTTATGCTTGAAATTCACTCACACTCTGAAAGGAACTTCATTTCATTCTATTATTGTTTCAAAGAAGAATTTAAAAAAAAATAATATATTTGTTTTAGAGAGATGTTAAAAGGCATGTCACGTCATAAAGCATGCACATGCATGACATCGTGTTGGTTCCGAAC